TCTTGATGTCACGGTCAATGGAACTTTAACACGTGAACTAATGTTTTTTATTTTTTTGTTTTAAAGTCACTTATAGCAAACCTAATCTAACAATTATCTCACGATATGCTTATGACATATTCATGTATACGTCGTTTGTATTTTTTTTAAATCGACCCACGAAAATATGCAATACATCAAGTTAAAAAAGTGGTACGAATCATAGAAGCGACGTTGGGTGGTTCACTAGTAATTTTTTTATGGAAAATCTAGAAATATTACCCAAATTAATTTATGTCTATTCAAAAGAAGACATTCAAATCTATATTATGTAAAAAAATCAAATTTGTCCGAAGCAGGGATAGCGCTCAATTAGAGTGATGAACTTCGTTCTCCAAACCGAGAATCATCCTTTTCAAAGTTGATAAACAATTTTCGAAACCATATTTTTAGATGTATTTTCACATGTAGATTTCAAATATGACATCACTTTGACTGAATTTTGAATATTTAATGACATAAATCAAGATCATTTCTACTCGCATCTAGTCTATTGTGATACTTGCAATAAAGAAGCATCTGAAAAAGTAGACCAGGTGTTATTAACATGACAAAACTTCACCACCAGGTTAGTTAGAGCAAATGGTTACAAAATTGTAACAATTTAAAACAAGTGTGTTGACCCTACACTGGATAACCAATGCCTAACTCTGAACACAGGTAACACAAAGGTGGCCACATCAATATCTCACCACCTTTTATTGACATAAAATCTTGGTCCATAGAAAGATGGCAGTAATGGGTTGCCTATACTATATTTATTCAAACAGCTCACTGTTGCCATCTTTCTATTCACCTAGTCTCTTAAAAAATTGACGTGCCTTACCAAACCCCTTAGAGCCAACAAAAGGTTTTAGAAAGCAAGCCCAGTGTCCTATTTAAGTACTCCTGTTCTTACTATTGACAATGGATTCTACCAATACGATCCCACGTGTATCTTCTTGTTGAGGCTCGATCAACTTGAGATTTTCTGAGATAATGAGGATTTTGGCAAGGTTGTATTGACCTAACTTGGGCCTGGGGATAGCATGTCATCATGCATGGGGATAGATACAAAATCATCATTATTTCAGAACTCAAGTTGATCGAAATCATTGATGGAAATTATAATCAAGGAGGTTACAAAATGATAGACTTAAAAAGCAAAATCAATAGCCTTTTATGTAAATGGGCCAAAAAGCTCATGGAAGAGGATATAAATGATAACAAACAATCATGGAAAATAATACCAAAATATTACCTTAGTAAAATATGTAATTCAAATATTTTGTTACGAGCTAGTGAGTGTTATGACAATGTTGCCAAATATGTTCATATTAATGACATACCTTTATTTTATAAAAACATTATCAGTTCTTGGATTATTTTAATAACCAATCAATAAAAATACAACAGGAAGTGGCTAATAGTCTATGGTTAAACAAGAATGTAAAATATAAACATAAAGTTTTATACATGTCCTTAGAGAGATGAATGAAGAAAAATATATTCTCTTTAGATCACATATATGAAAATGACAATTTGATACCTCTACAATTGTTAAATGAAAAACCGATTTAAACTGTCTTTTAGAGTATAACATATTAAAGGGTAATCTCTATGCATAGCCGTAGGGACCGGGGGTTCGATGGGTTCGGACGAACCCCCGGTCGGGATTTCTCCCAAAAAAATATTTGTGGAAAAATCCATTGCAATAACCAGAAAAATATATTCAATTTATATGACCAGTAGGAAAAAATAGTAAAGGAAGAGGTTTGAGTATTGGCAAATATCCCTATGGTCAAAATGAATCATTCTTAGGTGTAACATGAAGAATAGAATGTCATAATACTTTGGAAAATATTAAAGTGCTGGGGCACACATAAGCTGAGATAGGGATCATTTCATGATTCTCGTCATTAATGATAAAATCAGCGGAACTGTGATAGAAAATGGAATGTCTTCAAAGTTTTTATTTTCAATTCAAAGAAAGCACAACAAATAAGTTTTTCAGCATTAGTTGTTCTTTATTTGTTGCAAGGCATTGAAATTTAAGAGAGATGTTTAATGTTAGAGCCTACAGAGCACAGTGGATATTTTGTTATTTCAATTTTTTTTTATTTCAGCCTATGTTTCATTCCATTAATACAATACTATTTGTCATCTGTCACTTCTATCGTCAGTACCAATTGAGAGTATTCATGCAGCCATTACGACTTTTATTGTGCGCCATGATTAAATAAGTATTACATTCTTCAAAAATATTTGCTTTTGAATATACTAGTATTCAGAAACTAACTGTAAGTTCATGAGGTCATTATGAACTCCTCTATTACAAAATGAAATGGCAGATAAAATTCTTTTGATTTGGATTCTTTTCAAAAATCATCTAAAAGTGTGGGAATAGCATGCCAGAATTTGACATTTCTATGAATGATGAATCGGGAATGACGATTTTTCAATGGTAGCTCGTTAAAAAATATGTTCCTTAGAGATATGTTGTAATTTGCCCTTTACAAACGTTGTCTCAATGTATGCTAACCCTTGATTTGGATTTCATTGAACAATTAAACAATTGTTATATAAAATGTATGATTTTGCTACCAGATTTCAATATCTTTCAGTAAAAGATTCACCAAAAACTATTTCAATATAGAAAATCAAATTGTTGCCAAACTTTTGGAGGGGTGTAAATTGTATGTACAAAAAATACTTTTATGTGAGGTACACAAATGAAGGGGGAGATTTGTGGATACATAAAAAATCGAACCCCTGGTCACCAATTGCTGGCTACGCCACTGCTATGTAAAACAACACAGGTAAAAACAGTAGACACAAAGTACATCTATAACATGTTTATTAAGAGTTTATTTTCAAAACCCCACATCAACTGTAATAACAGATGTGCAAAATAGTGAATTTTATTGGACACTTGCACATCATTTGACAAAAGAAACAAAGTTAATTGCACTTACCTGTCACAAATAATAATTTATTCAAAATGAAGAAAAAAGAAACCCCTAACTACAAAATGTGCTGATAATGTCCTAGATACTGTGAAGCACAGATTTGCATCATGTACTTCTTTCTTTTCAACCCTTATGGGGTGTTATTAATCAAAACTTTTACATAAACATACTCTAGGGTTTTATGATACTATTGACTTGTACTATAATTTGAAAATAGAGCTCTCCAAGAGAAATATTATTATGTAATGCATCAGGTAACTTATGTAAAGAAATTTTTAAATTGATGTAATCTTTTTAAAATATCTGAAATAAAAAGAATTTTAAATATAAAAAGAAGTTGATCGAGTCTTAACAAGGGAATTCAATCAATTCATGCAGGAGAGTATTGGTAGAAATTATTATCCCATCGAACGAAGTTCGGAGGGATAAAGGGAACGCCTCCGTCCATCCGTCCGTGCGTACATACGTACGTCCGTCCGTCTGTCTGTCCGTTTGTCTGTCTGTCCGTCCGTCTGTCCGTCCGGGCAATAACTCAAATACCGTTGGCCCGATTTAATTCATATTTTGTACACATATACCCTATGGGGTAGAAGTTCTGCTCGAAAGCCGATTTTCAAAATGGCTGCTCATTTCAAAATGGCGGCTATTTTAGTGCCGATTTTACAGTAATTTAGGTGCAATATGTAAAACTGTAATAGCAATATGTTTTAAATGTAAAAAAATTCAACAGGACAACAAGGACATTAATAATGCTACAAATGTAGATATTAAAGAAGCACATGGCAGCCATCTTGAAAAATGGTCGTCATTTTACGATTTTTGCTGTAACTCAAAAAATAGTGGAGCGATTTTGTTCATATTTGGTATGTGAATACTATAAGTATTGCACACTGTCTAAAGACACTTTTGGTAGAAGGCGGCCATTTTTCAAAATGGCCGCCATTCTAACATATTTTACTATAACTCGAAAAGTAGTGGAGCGATTTTGTTCATATTTGGTATGTGAATACTATAAGCATGGCACACTGTCCTATGACATTTTTGGTAGAAGGCGGCCACTTTGAAAAAAAATGGCCCCCATTTTAACGTATTTTACTATAACTCGAAAAGTAGTGGAGCGATTTTGTTCATATTTGGTATGTGAATATACTATAAGCATGGCACACTGTCCTATGACACTTTTGGTAGAAGGCGGCCATTTTGAAAAAATTTTGAAAAATGGCCGCCATTTTAACATATTTTACTATAACTCGAAAAGTAGTGGAGCGATTTTGTTCATATTTGGTATGTGAATACTATAAGCATGGCACACTGTCTATTTCTAATGACACTTTTGGTAGAAGGCGCCATTTTAACGTATTTTACTATAACTCAAAAAGCAGTGGAGCGATTTTGTTCATATTTGATATGTGAATATTTAAGCATGGCACATTGTCTAATAAAACTTTGGGGAGTAGTCGGCCATTTTGAAAAATGGCCACTATTTTTACGTGTGTTATTTTTACAAGTACACGTGCGATTTTTCAAAAATTTTAGAGTTTGGCTACTTAAAAGCCTACTATTTCTCCTGATGACAACTTGGCTAGTGAGCAACCATTTTGGAAATTGTGGCCTTTCTGGTGTGTTGTTTTATGATATTTGCTATTCGTTTGTAAAAATGCCAGCCATTTCTATTCGATGGGATTCGCTACGCTTTGGCGTTGCCGTTGTTCTGGTTAAGTAAGAATAGAGCTTCTTAAATATAGGACTTAAAGCTTAACGAAGGTCTTTTTTGAAAATTTGGGTTAGCTCTACCTACCAAGAGTCTTTACGCCGGGAAAAAATAATTATTCCAATGAACAAAGTTTGGTAAGGATATTTCGAAGCCCTTTATTAGTCAGTCAGTTCGTCCGGAAGATAACTCGAATTATAGTGGGCAGATTTCCAATAGTAGAAATAGTATCTACATGTAAATTATTAAAATAAATATTTCATCATCAGACTCACATATTGCTTTATTTATAAATGTTTCAGGATGGTGAGATTAAGAAGGATGAATTTGCTAAGTTATGGTACCAGTATCTAACCAGTACAGAGGAAAGTGACCCAGGAAACAGCCTACTGGGAAAACTCTACACTCCTGCAGAATAACTACTTTATATGCACTATAACACTCTGAATGTGTATATACACATGTGAATTTTTATGAATCAAAGTTTTGATCATGTTACTTCAATCACCATCCTTTGTTCACAAAACTCGAACCTCCTTTTAATATTCTTCAGGCCCTTTCTATCTATACACGTGTAAATGTAAATATAAAACATTTTATCAAATAAATTGAATTGAAATGATCATGTAAAAAATGAGGTGTAGTTGATCATTATCAAGGTCATCATTAGCACAAAACGTGTTACATCTCATTCATGACAAATGTTGGTCAATGAGAGGCCTGTACCAGGGGGGTTCACTTTATACAAAATTCAGTGAGGGTCAATACTAGAGTGCTGCTAACTCGATAAAAGGCTGGCGCTGGCTAGAATTGTCTATGGTTCTAGCCAGGATAAAGATACCAGTTCTTCAACTCGACAATGGGAAGAACTGCTCTACCTTAGTGACTAATATGTCATGATATGACATCTAAAGAGTCGATAAAAGATATATATATATAGGCTGAACCCTCAGATATCAATATGTTCCCATATCAATCTGTCAAATTTTAATATGTCCCCATACCAACCAAAATCAAATAAAATAAGACCAATGCCATACCAAATGCCCAAATATAGGACCTATGCCATACCAAAAGTCTTGTCAGACTTTGATTGGTCCAAAGTAGAATATTTCCCAGGAAAAAGCTACTATTCAAACTGAAGAAAGCTCCGAGAAAGCAGATCTTTTGAAGAAAATGATCTAAAACAACCTCAAATCAAGGATATGTGTAACTACTAGACCAATGCCATACCATAAGTGTAAGGTAACATATTTTCCATGACCATTCTCATATCAGAACGTGGAAAAATCCAGCCATTGCCATACCTCAAAGTTATTATTTTGGGGGGTGGGGGGCATTATCATACAAGATCCAAAAATGTGGGTCCATTGCCATACCAAATGTCAAAAAAGGTACCCCACATGCGCTGAAGATCCCCGTCAAGGTTTATATTCAGTGACCCCCCCCCCCGGGGGCGTGTACATGGGTGATTGATAACTCATATACTGGTGGACAGATCAGATTCAAACTTTATAGGGTGATGCCTAATGGGCATAGTACCTCTGTTTGAGAAGTTTTCATTATTATATATAATAGCAACTCAATTCACAATGGCTGCCATTTTTTAGTAAAAAAATGTAATCTGATAACTAAAATTCCAATTGACCATTTTAGTTCACATGATATGTACTGATGCCTTACAGCCTTAGGGAATGAAATCTGCTCGAGAATAATTTTTTCTAGATGGCCGCTTGATCAAAATGGCCACCATTTTTCATGTATAATGCAATTTTCTATAAATACTGGTTAGAGGGTTTGGTCTTAATTTTATTGCTTACTGTCTAAAAGGCAGATGACCTCTACTCAAGAAGGAATTGCCAATATGGCTGCACAATTTGAATGGCCACCATTTTTTGTAAAAAGTTCAAGTTTTATATGCTGATGCCTTAGAAAGAAAGGAAATTGTCAATTCAACTTCCTCAATACTTATAAAAGAGTTGGGACGGTCCATAAACAGCATTTCAATAGATGAAGTCATATTGAAGGTGTAAGTTATCTTTTTGAAAGTTATACGACCTGAAAAAGTATGCTCAATAAATCTTATTTATATGATCCTGAAATTAATGGTTTAGGTTACTCAAGCACTTGGTCCAATAGAGTTAAATATATATTAAAATAATGTGATTTATTTTCTCATTGGTTAACTCAAAATGTTGAAGATGATTACAATATCATTCAAATGATAACAAAGAAATTAAAAAATAATAAATTAACTTCAATGGAAGCAGGATATTCTTACTTTCCCTGTACTTAGGACCTATATAAAATTCAAAAATAATTTCACCAAAGAACCATATTTAAACATTCAAAATAAAAATTATAGACATGCATAAACAAGGCTCAAATAGAAGTTGCACAGTACTTAAAACCGAAGCCAAAACCCCTACTAAGTGAATGTGGGGTAATAGAGGATGAGCTTCATTTTATCACTAGCTGCACAAAGAACTTAGAACACAGAAACATTTTGTCAATGAAAGATATGTTTATATTGCTCATTGCTTCTAGTGAGTATTTTTGGATAATTTGTGATTCTTTTCATCTGTTATGTCATGGGCATCATGATAAACCATGACATCTCATTTCTTCTCAGCCCTGAGATGTTTCGGAAAGATGTCATGAGTATCAGAGTGTGCCATGGGCTTTCAGGAGGTACTTCAAGAGTCTCTTGAAAGCCAATGGTTATGTTCATACTTTCACTAGCAATCAAATAAATAATAATAAAACTTGGATAACATTTACCAATTGAATGAAGATATTAATAATCAACCAAACACACACACATGACTCAATTTCAGATCCATGGAGGGACTCACAGAAGGGCTAGGATTCCTACTTGGCCTAATTAATTTCTTTGATTGACTCATGTTTGTGTCAGTCTTTCTGACTATAATGGTCACCAGAAATACCATATAATTTATGTCCAAAATAATATTGTTTCTATCAATATTCAGCCCCAGAAAAAGATTCCCCAGTGAAGATCTAATGATCCCACCCTTATCGATCTATCCAAACATTACTGCATTTATGCACACAATCTCTAATCCTCTTACACGAGATGAAACCTGGAGACGAATGATTTAAATATCATTATTGAGTTATATGATAGACATGTTGAGAGATACAATACAAAATCAATAAAAATGCAGGTAATTACATATACATTTACTATATTTTAATAGCATTTAGAAATTAAATTGAAGAGAAGGGACAGGGATGAGATGAGAATAAGCTTAAATAATAGGCACCATTTTACAATATTGTTGTGCTCTCATTTACATTACTGTATTTCATGTTATGCCTTTTTAAAGGTTGTTTTGCTTAAAAGGTATAATTTGGACATTTCTGCATTTAAATCTTGAATAACTTCTATATTTGATCATGTATTTCAATTTTTTCAAGAAATAAATTCAGGATTGTATAAGGCCAACATTGGTTCCAAGATTACTTCAAATATTTTACATGCTCTATCCCATGTATCCCTATTAGTTCGATTCACTTAATAAGGTAGTTCCATACTTTTTTAGAGAAATTACATATCTAGATCAAATCAAACTGAATACAGTGTAGTTTGAGGAAAACTCCTTGTTAAAGGAGTGGTATCTTTATGGAGAACTTTTTGAACACACGTTTCTCTTAAACCAGTCATAAAAATCTAAAAATTTAACACATTGTCAATTTAATGGTCATCTTTTGAATGGTAACAATATAATTTGAAATATATATATATACTTTCATCTATATTGTTTTAGAAAACACATCAAACACTTGTTTTGTTCTTGGTATCATGTTTCCAGAGTGAAATGAAATATCTTTCCGAACCTCATTGGAACAAAATGACATAAACACAACATGTTTAGGTCTCTCAATATTGTAATTATACAAAGGAAATTTTGGTTGATTTTAAAAAAGTATCTTGTCAATGAAATAAAAGGTTTATCTTCATTTTTATCTATTTTTTTTTTGGGGGGGGGTTGTTTTAATTTTTTGAATACTTTTTCAAAATCAACCAAAAATTCCTTTGTATAACTATATAATATTGAGAGGTCTAAAAACATGTTGTATATGCTGTTTTGTTCCAACAAGGTTAGGAAAGACTTTTATTTCATTCTCAAGAATTGGTAGAAAGGAGCAAAAACAGTTGCACTAAAAAACAAAAAATGTTAACAGAAACAGTTATTATAAAATATTTCTAAATAATTTTTGCATTAAATTGTTGTCGATCAGTCAACATTACATAAAATACCGTGTTTTTTACAGAATGTTTTCAATGATTGGTTGAAGAGAAAAACATTGTTGAATTCAGTTCTCCATATTGATGAATCCTCTTCTTCGAATTGCTAATTAACTTTTAAACACCCATGTTTTGGCAGCCATTCAGAAGATTTTTATAAATCTTATTTTTTTGGTGGAAAAACTGCTTTCTTCAGTCCATACACATGCTAGAGGATACCAGGTTCAACAGTTGATTAATATTTGGGTGGCCATCTTGTTTTCAGGCTGCCAGAAGTTCTTGACTAATCTTACCAAAATGTAAAGCAGTTTGAATGAGGAGTATACCATACAATACATTGAAATATTATATTTTTCCAGGCTAATCATAAAGCACTCAAAATATACAGATGTGGTAGAATATTTCTTGGACTTCTTCTGTTCACCATTGTATCATGTCTGATCACTATGGAATTATTACGCCATCAGCCTACAGGTACTGTATGTTATGATATGATGGAGATGCTCTACTTATAGGATTCAATTTAGATGAAGTCAATGGGTCATGGGACTGTGAAGTGTTTCACTTACAGCAGTCTTGCTTCAATTGTCTGAACCCCCTCCTTATCTTCTTCAACACCTTATGGGGTGGGACAGTGGGGGGGGGGGGGTCACAATGACAGAAGTGTATCATGTGACAGGTTTTACTGTATGTAGTTCAATCCATGGTTCATCTTGCACACAGCATTTTTTTATTATTATTAAATTTATTTCAATAGAATACAAAAAATGTAAATACAAACATGTAAATTCTTAAATCGCCACAATGGCATTATATAAGAATAGGGGGCAGGTGGAAGTAGAAGTGGCAGAGCAGGCAGGGTCTTGGACTAGGGCAAGTGTGACGGGACTTGAGGATACTAGAGATGGATAAGAAGGAGGGAATTAGCTATTGTCTTTGATAAAATTAACAATGAGAAGTAGTATTTGGGAATTTGCATCTATGTTTAATTTGGGAATTCCTGTTTTCAAAATAGCTATGAAATCAGTTTGAGAGAGATTATGACTGAAGATGTTTGGTTCGAGATCAGTGAGTTTGTCCATGAATTGCTGTCTTTGTATAGTAAGTAAGTCACATTGAAAGAGAAAATGTTTCAGAGTTTGTGGTTTTCCACAAGTGCAATTAGGGCTGTCAATAGACTGAAAGTTGTGAGCGTAGAACTGGGCTTTGAAGTATAGGTCAGCTCTCACTTTATTGAGAACTATTTCTTGAACCCTTGTTAGATTAAGCTGGCTTGTTGACAAAATCGAGGGTGTTTTTTGGAAATGTACACTTAGGTGTTTTTTAAAATTCGAAAGAGTATTCTTAGATTTAATAGCAGGTGGAAGATTGATCCAATTTGAAATTGCAGCTGGTATTGCTGAGGTGGAGAATCTATTTGAGCATCTAATGGGCATTTTATATGCTTCATTATATCTTAATACTCTGTTTGCATGGTTTCTAAATTTGTCAAAAATATCAGTTACATAGGGAGGACTTGTACCATTTACAATTTTGAACATAAAGTTGTTAATCTGGATACTGCGTCTTGATTCAAGAGTTGGCCAATTGAGTAGGTTTAAAACCTTTTTTGAACTGCTCCCTTGGATACACCCAGAACAATAAAGTGCAGCTTTATAATAAAGACTGTCGAGTCGTTGTAATAGGAACTTTGAGGCTGTGCTGTACATGATAGCACCATAGTCAAAATGGGGTAAAATAAAGGACTTAAATATGGTTTCTAGATGCTTACTACCTAACTTATATTTAAGTTTCTTTAAAGGGTTCAACATTTTTCGTATTTTTGATATGATTTCTCCAATATGCTTGTCATATGATAAGCTTGGGTCAAAAGTAAATCCCAGATGTTTGTGCTCGTGATCTCTGGTAATTTCAACATTGTTTAACTTTGAAACAGAAACATTATCGACTTTAGATCTGGATGAGTGGAATATCATTTCAGAACTCTTTTCAGGTTTAAACTCCAATTTCCAGGTGTCAGACCATTTTTCAATTTTAATTAGGTTAGATCTGGCTATTGCATCTACTTCTTGTGGATGCTTAGTAGGTCAAAAGGATGATGTAGAGAAGTGTCATCCGCATAAATATAGCAATGCCCCTCCAGATTGCCTGGAAGGTCATTAATGTATAAGAGAAATAATATTGGCCCAAGTATTGAGCCCTGGGGGACACCACAATTGATAAAGTCATTTTCAGAATAATTTGAAAGTTCCCCAGATATCTGTACAGCAATTTTTCTGTTAGTAAGGTAAGATTTGATAATTTTTTGAATTTGCCCTTGGAAGCCATATGCTGAAAGTTTATGAAGTAGTAGCTTATGTGGTACTCTGTCAAATGCAGCCGCTATATCTAGAAAAATTGTTTTGGAAGCTTTTCCTTGTTCAAATGTGCTCTGAAGAAAATGTTCAATCGATAAAAGTTGATGAATAGTACTATGACCTGGTAAGAATCCGGACTGATGTTTGAAAAGAAGATTATTGTCAATTAAATGCTTCCTGATTCGATCAGCTAAAACTTTTTCAAATACTTTAGAGATACAGCTTAAAAGAGTGATAGGTCTATAATTGTTGATGTTCGATTTGTCATTCTTCTTAAAAATTGGGCAAACATTTCCAATTTTCCAGATATCCGGGTAGGTACACTTTGATAAAAGTTTGTTGAATAAGTTGGCTAAAGGTTTTGAAATGGTATGGGCTGTCAAATTCAACATTTTGTTGGTGATGTTATCTGGGCCACATGCCTTTGAGGTGTCTAAGGACAAAATTATTTTCATTACCTCGAATTGATCGGTCTGGGCGGAAATGAGTAGAGAATTAGTCCTAATTGGGAAATGGGGCAATTGATCAAAAGTTGCATCAGTATGATTTTTTGAGGCAAAGAAACTCATAAATCGGTTAGCTATATCAAGGTTGTTAGATAAGTCGTGTCCAGAGACATCATCATAGATACTAGAAATATCATTTTTATGTAAATTGTTACCAAGGAATGATTTAATTAACCTCCAATAGTTTTTATCAGATTTATTGAGTTGGTCAATTGAGGAGATAGTTTTGAGTTCATGTGCCTCTTTGGCTTGTTCAATTAGTTGGGAAACTTTAGAAGCTTGTTGATTATAATTGAATTTGTTTACTTGATTAGGAGCTTTTGAAAATTTCTTATATAAAACTTTCTTTTTTGATATTTCACGTTTAAGATTATCATTGAACCATGGCTGGTCATTTGACCTTACAGTGATGATTTTATTTGGAATTTTGGATTTGTATATGTCCGAGAGTTTTTCAATAAAGTTAGAGGTAGCTAAGTCCAAGTCTGTGTTTCTATCGATAATATCTGTCCATTCAGTATTTCTAATTGCATCATTCAAAGTTTCAAGATTAGCTTCATGGTATTTCCAAATGGTTTTTTTAATAGGCTTGGACTTAGTCACACCAACTTTAATTTGAGCTACAATTGTGCTGTGGTCGGTTTTTTCAATGGGATCAGTGACATCCCAGTTGTCAAAAATATCTGGAGAATCGGTCAAAATATGATCAATGCAGGATTTGGAGTGATCAGTTATTCTAGTTGGTTCACTAACAAGTTGTACAAAGTCTTGGTTATCTATGGTTTCTAAGAGTTTAGTACACAGCATATAAATAAAGAGAGTAAATACAAATAAAAAAAACGCTTTGCATCACATTGTAATTGTTGATTGAAATATGTATTGATTGGAGTAAACATATCATTGAAATAAATGAATAATTTTCATCAATAGATCTGGTTGATCGCCACAATGCTATACGATATATATATATGCTATATAGAGATGGATAAAATTGACTCTGTGCTGTTAGAACAGTGAATCTCTTAAGTCTTTATATGAAATATGAAATATATGAATCAATCTATTCTCAGTATGACATAATTTTGAATAACATAATTTTGTTATATTTTTGAATTTTCAGTAATCCTCTCATTTCTACAAACAAAAAACCCAAAAGTTTTCTGCTGGGTGCTTACCACTCCTGGGAACCTTCCTAAAAAAGCAACTGCTGTTAAGAACACATGGCTAAAACGTTGCGATGGTGCAATATTTGTCACATCCAATCATACTGACCCTAGTTTTCCTGCCATGGCATTAGGCATACCCGAAGGAAGGGACCATTTAAGCGACAAGTCATTTGCAGCATTCAAATATATATACAACAACCATTTAAAAGACTTTGATTGGTTTTTAAAAGCTGATGATGACACATATGTCATCATGGAAAACCTTAAACATTTCTTACAGAAATTTGACTCAACTGATCCTTTATATTTTGGCCAGTATATTGGAAACCAAAAACAAATACCAGTAAAACAGGGATATGCTAGTGGAGGAGCAGGATATGTTTTAAGCCAAGAGGCTCTTAGGCGGATGCAAGAAATAGGTACAAATGACACTAAATATCAATGTAGAAAAAATACAGGATATGAGGATGCAGATATAGGAATCTGTCTTGAAAACCTCAATGTGACTTTAGGTGTATCACGTGACAATAATAACCAGATAACATTCCATTCATTCAATCCACTAGGGGTATTAAATATGGACCCCATACTAGGCAATATTTACCAATATACCAATGGAAACACAAATGTGGGAAAAGAGAAGGTAAGTTTTGGGGTAATCTTGGTGGCACTTTGACATTCTCAGAAAAAATTATATTGAAGGAAAAATATATTTGAATAGTTACTGCACTCCCAGTAATTTTCTTCAATTTCCTTCAATAAAACCTAAATCTAAGGAATCAAAAGACCACAGTGCTGAAATATATTAAACAAGGCATTAACATGACAAAATGTAACCACCTAAAACAATTTGGTCAATTTAAAGCAAGTTGGAAAATACCTTTTGACCTTAAGAAGAACTTCTGAGAACATGTAGATGATTTTGAAAAAAAAATTAGTCAATTTGAAGCAAGTTGAAAAAAGACCTTTTTGACCTTGAGAAGGTCATTGAAGGTCAAAGGTCAAATCTAAAGTCAGATTTGAACTTCTGAGAACTTGTAAAGTCAAATTTGAACTTCTGAAAAGTGTAGATGATTTTGAAAAAAAAATTTGGTCAATTTGAAGCAAGTTGAAAACAGACCTTTTTGACCTTTTTTGACCTTGAGAAGGTCATTAAAGGTCAAATGTCAAATCTAAAGTCAGATTTGAATTTCTGAGAACATGAAGATGATTTTGAAAAAAAAAATTAGTCAATTTGAAGCAAGTTGAAAAAAGACCTTTTTGACCTTTTTTTACCTTGAGAAGGTCAAATGTCAAATCTAAAGTCAAATCTAAAGTCATATTTAAATTTCTGAGAACATGTAGATGATTTTGAAAAAAAAATTTAGTCAATTTGAAGCAAGATGAAAAAATACCTTTTTGACCTTTTTTGACATTGAGAAGGTCATTGAAGGTCAAATGTCAAATCTAAAGTCAGATTTGAATTTCTGAGAACATGTAGATGATTTTGAAAAAAAAATTTAGTCAATTTGAAGCAAGTTGAAAAAAGACCTTTTTGACCTTTTTTGACTTTGAGAAGGTCATTGAAGGTCAAATGTCAAATCTTAAGTCAAATCTAAAGTCAGATTTGAATTTCTGAGAACACGTAGATGATTTTGAAAAAAAAAATTAGTCAATTTGAAGCAAGATGAAAAAATACCTTTTTGACCTTTTTTGACATTGAGAAGGTCATTGAAGGTCAAATGTTAAATCTAAAGTCAGATTTGAATTTCTGAGAACATGTAGATGATTTTGAAAAAAAAATTTAGTCAATTTGAAGCAAGTTGAAAAAAGACCTTTTTGACCTTTTTTGACTTTGAGAAGGTCATTGAAGGTCAAATGTCAAATCTTTAGTCAAATCTAAAGTCAGATTTGAATTTCTGAAAACACGTAGATGATTTTGAAATTTTTTTTTAGTCAATTTGAAGCAAGTTGAAAACAGACCTTTTTGACCTTTTATGACCTTGAGAAGGTCATTGAAGGTCAAATGTCAAATCTTAAGTCAGATTTGAATTTCTGAGAACACGTAGATGATTTTGAAAAAAAAATTTAGTCAATTTGAAGCAAGTTGAAAACAGACCTTTTTTGACCTTGAGAAGGTCATTGAAGGTCAAATGTCAAATCTAAAGTCAGATTTGAAGGTCAAATGTCAAATCTAAAGTCAGATTTGAATTTCTGAGAACATGTAGATGATTTTGAAAAAAATTTTAGTCAATGTGAAGCAAGTTGAAAAAAGACCTTTTTGACCTTGAGAAGGTCATTGAAGGTCAAATGTCAAATCTTAAGTCAGATTTGAATTTCTGAGAATACGTAGATGATTTTGAAAATTTTTTTTAGTCAATTTGAAGCAAGTTGAAAACAGACCTTTTTGACCTTTTTTGACCTTGAGAAGGTCATTGAAGGTCAAATGTCAAATCTTAAGTCAGATTTGAATTTCTGAGAACACGTAGATGATTTTGAAAAAAAAATTTAGTCAATTTGAAGCAAGTTGAAAACAGACCTTTTTTGACCTTGAGAAGGTCATTGAAGGTCAAATGTCAAATCTAAAGTCAGATTTGAAGGTCAAATCTAAAGTCAGATTTGAATTTCTGAGAACATGTAGATGATTTTGAAAAAAATTTTAGTCAATGTGAAGCAAGTTGAAAAAAGACCTTTTTGACATTGAGAAGGTCATTGAAGGTCAAATGTCAAATCTTAAGTCAGATTTGAATTTCTGAGAACACGTAGATGATTTTGAAAAAAAAATTTAGTCAATTTGAAGCAAGTTGAAAACAGACCTTTTTGACCTTTTTTGACCTTGAGAAGGTCATTGAAGGTCAAATGTCAAATCTAAAGTCAGATTTGAAGGTCAAATGTCAAATCTAAAGTCAGATTTGAATTTCTGAGAACATGTAGATGATTTTGAAAAAAAATTTAGTCAATGTGAAGCAAGTTGAAAAAAGACCTTTTTGACCTTGAGAAGGTCATTGAAGGTCAAATGTCAAATCTAAAGTCAGATTTGAAGGTCAAATGTCAAATCTAAAGTCAGATTTGAATTTCTGAGAACATGTAGATGATTTTGAAAAAAAATTTAGTCAATGTGAAGCAAGTTGAAAAAAGACCTTTTTGACCTTGAGAAGGTCATTGAAGGTCAAATGTCAAATCTAAAGTCAGATTTGAACTTCTGAGAAGATGTAGATGATTTAGAAAAAATTTGAAGGTCAAATGTCAAATCTAAAGTCAGATTTGAATTTCTGAGAACATGTAGATGATTTTGAAAAAAAATTTAGTCAATGTGAAGCAAGTTGAAAAAAGACCTTTTTGACCTTGAGAAGGTCATTGAAGGTCAAATGTCAAATCTAAAGTCAGATTTGAAGGTCAAATGTCAAATCTAAAGTCAGATTTGAATTTCTGAGAACATGTAGATGATTTTGAAAAAAAATTTAGTCAATGTGAAGCAAGTTGAAAAAAGACCTTTTTGACATTGAGAAGGTCATTGAAGGTCAAATGTCAAATCTTAAGTCAGATTTGAATTTCTGAGAACACGTAGATGATTTTGAAAAAAAAATTTAGTCAATTTGAAGCAAGTTGAAAACAGACCTTTTTGACCTTTTTTGACCTTGAGAAGGTCATTGAAGGTCAAATGTCAAATCTAAAGTCAGATTTGAAGGTCAAATGTCAAATCTAAAGTCAGATTTGAATTTCTGAGAACATGTAGATGATTTTGAAAAAAAATTTAGTCAATGTGAAGCAAGTTGAAAAAAGACCTTTTTGACCTTGAGAAGGTCATTGAAGGTCAAATGTCAAATCTAAAGTCAGATTTGAACTTCTGAGAAGATGTAGATGATTTAGAAAAAAATTGAAGTCAGTCTAAACAGTATTTGTTAAGTTATAGGAAGTTGTAAGAAATTGTTACAGACGCCGGACGCCAGACGCCGGACGCCAACCACCAACCGCCGTCGCAAAAAAACGGAGACCATAACAATATGTCACCACTTTTTGGTGGTGACATAAAAAGATATTAATATTATACACAAATAACATTTGTATATCTTTGATTGGTTGTGGTTTAGCTAATAAAATGTGTTGTCTTTTATATTTTGACACTTCTCTGCCATATGTTATTTTCAAAAAAATTAACGCGGCTGAAACTCCTAAATTACAAGAGGCCACAGATAAATCTGAAATATACAATTACAAATGTCATTTCTACAATGTACTGTACAGTACAATATGAATAATTTTTTCATGTATTTTACAGCACAGTGGTTTTTTGACTCCTTATTTTTGAGGTTTTATTGACGAAAAAACCTTGAAATGGATAACCTTATATATCATTTGAGGCTTAATTAATTCTCCATTTGGTTGAATAATTCTCCCTGTTTTTATGTCAAAGTGTTGATATTCTATTCAAATTGTACTCCAATGCTCTCTTGAGACTCTATTATATATTTCCAGTACATTATATCATTGGAACGTTGTGCTTTGTTTCATCACAGTTCTACTCTTCAATGTTAATTTTCTATGTGTTTTTATTAATACTTTATTGTCATTCCTTTTCTACCGGTTTTGCTTAATTACATTATTCTCCTATTTAAATAAATGTGTTCTACATGATTATTTATTTGTATTGCATGTGTCCCTTTCAGGGTGAAAAGATATTGAGTTCCAGTACAATATCATTCCATTATGTGGACCCTGGCACAATGTACCTTCTAGATTTTCTCATCTATGACCTTAATGTGCATAAACTGAGGGGTGACAATAGATATATATGGGATAATAACCCAAAGCGAACATACAAAGACCTTCTAAGAACTTAGAATTGCACAAGGAAATCAACTGTAATGTTATGGGAATGATTTTCTTCATGGTGTTTAATAATAATCAGTTTTTTGAAATGTAATGTTAAATAAAAAGAGGAAGAAAAACGGAAACAGATGTAGCTTGCTTGTTTATAATTGTACTTTATGTAAATACTATGTGCATGTATTAAATGTCCATGTAAATATGTTTATTGAATAAAGGACGATTCTCGGTTTGGAGAACGAAGTTCATCAATCTAAATGAGCATTATCCCTACTTCGGACAAATTTGATTTTTTAACATAATATAGATTTGAATGTCCTCTTTTGAATAGTCATAATTTAATTTGGGTAATATTTCTAGATTTTTCTCAAAAAAATATTAGCGCAATACACTGATGAACTTCTTTCCCCAAATCGAGACTTGTATTTTATTAAAATCGGTCTAATTGAGCGTTATCCCTGCTCCAGACCAATTTGATATTTTTACATCTTGTAGATTTAAATGTCCTCTTTTGAATATTCATAGTTTAATTTGGGTAATATTTCTATATTTTTCATGAAAAAAAATATTAGCCCAGGAGACTGTTCTCCAAACCGAGAATCGTCCTTTGCTTTCGTACAAAAAAACTAGCCACCTACAGCCCATTTCAATGTTTTATTGTGTCAGTAAAACCTAGAAAATAAGAAATCAAAAGATCATGGTGCAAATATATATTCAAAAATATATTCCTATTGTTCATAAATGACATTTGTATGTCTTGGATTGCTTCTAGTTTGGCTAATAAAGTATGTGGCCTCTTATATTTTGATGCTTCTCTGCCATAGTATTTTCAAAAAGATTAACATGGCTGAAATTCTTTAAATTACAGGAGGGCACAGGCACAAAAAACTGAATAATCTGAAATAAACAAATGTCATTCAAGTACAATATGAATAAACTCCTGATTTCTTAATTTTAATAGATTTTTTTTCTAGATGCGAGTAGAAATAATCTTGATTTACGTCATTAAATATTCAGTCAAAATTCAGTCAAAGTGATGTCATATTTGAAATCTACACGTAAAAGTACATCTAGAAATATGGTTTTGAAAATTGTTTATTAACTTTGAAAATTTAATTTTTTTGGGAAAATGTGATTTCTAGTCCGGGAAGATTCACCATAGACCACATGTTATAAAACAACAAAATGTGAAATATCTTTCTTGTATTGGACAGATAATATTTTCTGAAACTGGACATATTTCAATTAGCATTACTATTATATACATAAGGGTGATATGAATATTGAATTATCTCACAAGACGCTATTAAGTTTGCATAAGTCAGATCATAACCATATTACACATCGCACCGATGACATTGAGCTCTAGATCTTATTGCCATTCTTTTTTTCTGATGAGTAGACAGGACATAATGTCCCTTAAAAGCTCTTGAAGGCATGATTGAGATCTTGAATAATTGTTGCACACACATTACTTTATGTATGCAGGCAATGTCTAATCATCATATTGTCATAACTGATGAAAGAGAAACTTGTGTACAATACACAGAAATGAACAATAAAAATGCAGGTAATTTATAGTGATTTATATTATAGCAATTGGATATTTGAAATAGGGGAAGAAAATCAATGGGATTTGCATACATGGCATTACATCAATGTTAATATTTTCAGTGGTCTTATTGGACAGACAAAAGTCTGGTAGGACTGTAAATGGATGCAATCACATATAGTGTCCAATTTATTTTGATGATGAAAATATAGAAATATATTTGGAATTCCTAGCCAATGATATGCAGTACCATTAGAAAGCTATAATGAACACTTATACATTTGAGTTATATATAAAATCATGAAAATTTAGGTGCATCATCATGCCTTAAACAACTCAGTCATATGAAGGTTAACAGCCTGCTTGTCAATGTCTATATTTATATATATACATGTAAACTAATAGTAAAGTATACGATTCAATTTTTAAGAAATACCATGGATTCATAAAAACATACAATAGTAAACAATGAAAAATAGTTAGATAGCAATGTTTAGTATCAGATCATTAATTCACTTTTAGGTCTCCAAATTAATCAACGTCAGGAGAGTATTTCTGGCACTACTTTTATTCACCATTGGTTTGTGTGTTATTATGATGCAACTATCAGGACATCATCCGACAGGTATGGTGATTTATATATCCATATTTTCAAAAATTGCTTCGCTATTTCTACGAGATTTCATTTGTTTTTCAATCAAAGGTAGTTTTAAATATAATTGTAACTTGATACAAGGCATTTACATGCGAATTGTTACCACCTGCCATTTGTTACACCACTGAAAACCAACTACCAAACACTAACCACTAAATGCCAAACACCAACTGCCGAATACTGTCTACAAAAAAATTGAAGATGTCACCATTTCTAGTGGTGACATAAAAGCAAAATGTGGGTTGTGGACCAGAATTGCCAATTTAAATGATTTCCATCAGATTATGGATATGAGCATTAATTTAAACAAAAGGCAGTTTTATTAAGTCTGAATATTGTTGACTGATGGAGGGATGGACAGACAGATAGATGAACAGATGGATGAGTGGGCAATTCCAAACATAAGTTATTTGATAAAGGACCAGTCATAGTTTTTTAACAATTATTCACTGTTTTATTGAGGATAAATCAGATTCAGTTTTTCAACCAACATTATTTTATAGCTGTTCTATTGAGATACCAATTTCAAACTTATAAAACCATTTAAAAAATGTATCCTTCGAATAAACAAAATAAAGCTCTGTTCTAAGATTTACCATAATTTCTATTTCAGCTTTCAACTTCCTTCGTACAAAAAATCCAAAAGTATTCTGCTGGGTACTAACCACCCCTTGGAACCTCCCTACAAAAGCAACTGCTGTCAAAAACACATGGATAAAACGTTGCGATGGTGCAGTATTTGTCACATCAAATCATACTGACCCAAACTTTCCAACATTGGCATTAAACATAACAGAAGGTCGTAAATACTTGAGTAATAAGTCATTCACAGCATTCAAATATTTATACAATAACCACCTTTCAGACTTTGATTGGTTTTTGAAAGCTGATGATGACACATATGTCATCATGGAAAATCTTAAACATTTCTTGAAGGGATTTAACCCAAGTGATCCTTTATATTTTGGCCACTATTTTAGTGGTTATTTTAAAGGCAAATTAAAAGTACCAGTAAAACAGGGATATGCTAGTGGAGGAGCAGGATATGTTATAAGCCAAGAGGCTCTTAGGCGCATGCAAGAAATAGGCTCTAAAGACACTAAATACAAGTGCAGACGAAATACAGGATTCGAAGATGGGGATATAGGAATCTGCCTTGAAAACCTCAATGTTACACTTGGTGTATCACTTGACAATAATAGACAGATGACTTTCCATCCATTTAATGTTATAAAAGAACTAAATAAGTCCCCTAAAGAATCCAAGATGTACCAATATATCAATGGAAACATAAGTATAGGAAAAGAGAAGGTAAGTAAGTCATGGGAATGAACTGAGATTGGGATTTCAATTTTGAATCATTTTTGTATCCTGAGTAAAATGATAATTTCCGAGCTCTTGAAGATTTGTCTATTTTGGACCTAAAATAAGTGCAAAATAAACATTAAGCAATGGAAAAATCTTAGCTTATTTCTCATGACAAAGAATGATATGAGCAAAAAATAATCTAAAATTGAAACAACCTATAAACATTTTTATCTAATATCCAAATTTTCCTCTGTTGGTCTCTAAATAAATGATATTCTGATATAATGCATCTTTAACAAGAGACAAAATCTGACTGGGGATCTGTGGACTCAAGAGGGTTTTTATATACAAGAGAGGCATTACCCATTTAGATTTATATATGTACAATCATTCAATTAAATGTCTTATATACAAGCATTAAATAAGTACTCATAAAAATGCTGTAACTTTTTAAGTTTTATATTTCTGACTAATATTTCGACTGTATAATGTTGACTACTATACTCATATACTGAGAGAGTTAAAAAAAATCTACTCTAACAGGAAGGTGGTACTGGTTTGAGCCTAAGGTGGTTCATGGTGGATCAGGTCTGCACGAAAAAAATTCAAAATAACCGATTAAAATGTGAACATTTTCATACTCTTCATAATATTATTTTTGAATCTATTTTGACAGTTGGCAAATTAACACTGGTACTAAGATACCTTGGCAACACTTATTGATGACATCAAAGAGCAAATTGTAAGGTGGGAATGACATCAAGGAGCAATTCATAGTATAAGAATACAATTACAAGTTAAGATGAGATCATTGAGAAATGACAATTACACAAATTTAGCAGAAATTATGTCAAAAACAACATGGCTGCTGAACAGAATATGAATCATATTCAGCATCAAATTAGAAGCAGCATCAAGTTCTATAAATCTCCAAAATCAAAATAGGATAAAAAAAGGACATTCGTCAAGCTTATGGAAAGGACACTATATCTACACCTGGCATATACCGTAGGAGGGAGAAAGTCAGTTTAAGATGAACCCAGACAGGGGTGACCAAAAGCTGTAACTTCCCCCAATCAGATTGTTGCAATAAAAGAAATATTGGATGAATTCCTATCAGAAAAATTGCTGACATGACTGGTTCAAATGTTGCTCACACATACCATGTTATTCAAAATGATCTTGAAATGGCATTGATGTGTTTCATGTTCTGTTTCTGGGCAAGCAATTGACTGAGGAGCAATATTCACATTTTTAGTTGGTCATTGTAATTTTGAAACTTTTTCGTGCAGACCTGATCCACCACTAACCACCTTTGTCTCAATACAGCACCACCTTCCTGTAACTCTTACAGTACATCAGCATACTTAACAATGTACTCGGTATACTAGAAAAATTAGTCAGTTATATGAAAAAATAAAAAAGTTACAGCAGTTTTATCAGTACTTATTGAACGCCCTGTATTCATGGTATATGTTGTACTTTCAGGGTGCCAGGATATTAAGTTCCAATACAATATCATTCCATTATGTAAGCCCCGCCTTAATATACCTCATAGACTTCCTCATCTATGACTTAAATGTGCATCAACTGAGAGGTGATAACAAATATGTATGGAACAATAACCCAGATCGGACATACAAAGACCTTTTGGGAACATAGTATTTTGAACACAATGATTTATCAATACAGCTGTGGTAGAGACAGCAAATTAAGGAAGATATTGCCATGGGAGGAAACAGTGACTTTGCTAGTCAGCAATGGTCAGATTACTTCGTTAGTAAACTCAGTAATAAGTGTCCAGCAGATCTGAGGTAACAGAAACAATAGAAAAGTCTATGGGAAAAAAAATGACTTTATTAAGGACATGGGATTATAGAATGAAAGTAACCCAGATGCTGGGAGAGAGAAAACAAAAGTATGCAAAACTCGTTCTTCCAGGTTCAATTGCTCTCTTCTCGGTATATAATGTCTAAGGTCTGTTGATACCTGAAATTGCTATCATAAAATATATGATTTAATCTTTGCATCTTTGGAAAATAAGGAATTTGGACCATTTTCCGAACATGATATACTGCATAATATGGCATTCCCAACATTATTAATGGTCAGTTACATGTAAGTGTCACACATTTCAATTCAAGTAGAAATCAACCCTTCATACAAAATGAGTGGTACAAATGAAAGTACATTATACAATAACAGTTGAGCTATCCAATTTTGAAATTTGCAATTCAAATATGCAATGCAATGCAATGCAACATATTACAGTTAAGTAAGGAGAAAATACAACTTACTCAGATAAGTGAGGAAAATGGCTTCCTTCATAAAATGAAAATTTGTAAAAGAGAAACTTGAAATATGTTGACCTATGTATGAGAACATTATTTTTAAAAGCGAGCTTCTTGGTGTCTGTAGAAAAGAGCTAAGAAGAAAGTTTGTAAATGTGGTAATTGTCTTGGAGTACTTCTGCATATTTTGATGCTTAAACTTCTTACTTACAAAAGGTCATGGGTTTATTTCAAATACAATTTATTAATCTGAAATACACAATTATTTGAAATCGTGTACAATATGATTATATTTTTCCCTATATGAAGGCACTGTGGTATGTGTCATTTTCAAAAGACCTGACAGTATTAATGTTTGATATTTTATGACAAGCTGAATGACATATTGTGCCTACCAATCTCCATTCACCTAAACAACGCACAAACGATTGCTACTCGTGTTCTTTATGGGACTGTATATCAATATAAGTACATTTACATAATCACTTTTAGTGTAATTCGCTTTGAAATAATTGGCACGATCATCATTCTAGTCGAGAAAATACATAATTTAGTACTCTTATGTAAACATTAAGCAACACTTCTAAGAAAATAAACAACGGGTATGCCACATAATAAATTATAGTACAAAGATGTATAAAAACTTTAAATGATATGCTGATCCTGACATGGTTGGGCATCCGGTAATGACAATGTCTACCCAATGTTTGTATGCGAAATTGACATAATTCATGACTGAAATCGGGAAGACAAAATTATGTGATATTCTTTCAGAATTGTTTATAATAACTATTTACAAAAATGTTCCCGAGACACAAATCCATTTCGGTAAGGTTTGTTTTAAAGTCAAAAGCCCCAATAAGACAATACAAACCCAGATAAAACCAAGAACACTGCAGATTTCATGTAATGATTTACGCTCATGTAAACAAGTAATCCCCATATAAAACACTGGCCTACATGACTAATAACATGTTCAAATTGAAATATAGAAAATATTCAACATAGCATTTGCTTCCATGTTCAATATGCCCCTCTACCTGCTTAATAAGGCAATGTTTCTTTAAATAAAACCTTAGCCAAGTAGATTAGAGTCTCTGGAACACTTTTGTAAATAGATTTCACAAGCAATTTTGTTTGTGAATCTCAAATTTAATCTTCCCAATTTCAGTCATGAATTACGTCAATTTCACGTGCAAACTTTGGGTAGACTTTGTTATTCCCGGACGCCCAAACAAAAGTGTCAGGAACCATGGGCTTTCAATTCAATTCTAGTTGAAAGCCCATGCAGGAACTAAAAAAGGCTATATGCCTTGTTAACTTTGCCATCATCTGGCTTAATTAATCTACACCAATCAACAAACTGATTATAATTTCAGATCCCAAACTGGTAATTGTTAAACTACATGCAAATTAACAGCAAAAATGAAAAATAAAAATCTAAAACTTACTTAACAACCTGTACATAATGTCCATTATATTCCCATGCTAGGCATGATCGATGTTTTGAAAACATGCTATTTAAACGTTACTGTGTCTACAAATAAAGAGAATCATACTTATAAGAGACTAATGAGTTTGTTACATGTTTAAGAGAAAAACATTAAGCATCTGTGTGGAGCATTTACAGAATCACAATACAATACACAGAACTGATCAACAAAAATGCAGGTACAGTCATTAGCAATGGGGAGATTTAGTGTGAAAAACAGAAAATTTTATAAATGATCCCATTAAAGGGGCAGTAGCTGTAATTTTGTTCCTAACCAAATGTATAGCTAAGGATTTGTAACTAGCACTTTCAATAGATTTTGACATAAACCTTCTTTTTTTGTAATTTTCAAAGCTTTTAAAAATCAAAGACTAGTAAGATTCAATTTGGAACTAGTCATGCTGCTTACAATGTGAGAAAGTTTTCAAATTTTGATTTCTTTTATTAGGCTGATGCTAAGCTAAGCAAATTACATAAATACAGAAGGATATTTCTGGCACTACTTTTATTCACCATTGGTTTGTGTGTTATTATGATGCAACAAATAGGACATCATCCGACAGGTATGGTGATTTTAAAAATGTAAATTTACAAAATCACAAATAAAACGCAGATGTTTTATTTCATGCCTCCCACAGGTAAATGAAATTGATTTTAGATGATCACGTGACCAGGCTATTGCATCTTTATTTTACTATAATATGACAAAAACAAGGTCAAAATGAAAAACAATCTTAGAATTCTAATCAAAAAGGAAGGTAATGCTTTGCAAACGTTTATATTCTAAGGGCTTCAGTTAATAGAATTTAATGAACATTCCCCTTTAATCTCTTCAATTTATAGAATTAACTTCTCTTTATCTCTGACTACTAGAATTAAATTTATTTTCAGCCTCGTTCACCTCGTTACATATAAAAAGTCCAAGAGTTTTCTGCTGGGTACTAACCACTCCTGGGCACCTCCCTACAAGAGCAACTGCTGTAAGAAACACCTGGCTTAGGCGTTGCGATGGTGCAATGTTTGTGACAACAGATTATAATGATCCAAATTTTCCTGTTATGGCATTAAATATTACAGAAGGCAGACAACATTTAAGTAATAAGTCCTTTGCAGCATTTAAATATTTATATAATCACCATCTTCAAGACTTTGACTGGTTTCTGAAAGCTGATGATGACACATATGTCATTATTGAAAATCTTAAACATTTCTTGAAGGGATTTAACCCAAGTGATCCTTTGTATTTTGGCCATCATTTTGGAGGCAAAAGAAAAATACCAGTAAAACAGGGATATGCTAGTGGAGGAGCAGGATATGTTTTAAGCCAAGAGGCTCTTAGGCGCATGCAAGAAATAGGTACAAATGATGCTAAATATCAATGTAGAAAAAATACAGGATATGAGGATGCAGATATTGGAATCTGTCTTGAAAAGCTCAATGTGACTTTAGGAGTATCACGTGACAATAATAACCAGATGACATTCCATTCATTCCATCTTCTAAAAGAACTTAACAAGCGTCCCACCCAAGAAAGTATTTACCAATATGTCAACAGAAACATTAAAATTGGAAACCAGAAGGTATGTTATGGGCAAAACATGTGAAAGAAGAAATATTATGGAGATTAATATATTGAAGAAAGAATATATTGCCAGGGACTTCAATTGTATGATTTGGGCTTATAGACGAGTAGGAATTCAGAAATAAATCGGAGTTTAATATTTTTTTGACCCCCACCGAAATTTGGGTATCATTGGAAAGCCCCAATACCATACTTTAGGAATTAGGAAAAATAGAGTTTTCACTCGGGCCGTTGCTATGGAAATGGGTCTTATAAATAACGACCATTTTTAACAAGCATTAATAAGCAAAAACATGTATTTACATGTATCTTTTTTATTATTCATCAGATAATTATGATATGGTTATCAAAGCTTATGATGCCACCTTTACAATGAGGCATAAATTATGTAAATTAGCTCTTTAACATAGCAATTGTGACGTCATAACTGACAATTTTCAAAAAATTTTAATGTAAAAATTGATTATGTACATATATAAAGGTCCCATTATTTAAAATCATGATGAATTTTTCCCACTTTTTATATCAATTTGAAAGAGTATATGATAGCAGCTTTAAAATAATGTATGCAACGTGCCATTTCGGTCCAATAAATTTTTTTATGAGACCAAAGGGTGTAACATGCACAAACAAAAATTGTTTTGAAAATGATCTTTTTGAAAGAAATATCAAAAAGAAGGTTCGAGGTATGTTTTATCTTGAGGTATCATTTTCATTTTTCGTCAGATAATTAAATGTTTGGTATCAAATAAAAGGTAATGCTTTTTCCTATTTGATAAAGTATAATTTATACAAAATATCTCATAAGCGTTTTAATTATGACGTCATAACTGACATAATTGACACAAAAAGTCAAAGTAATCAGTAATTATTTACAAGGAGGGATTTGATATGGGGAATATCGCAAGGATGATATCTCATCCAAGGTCAAGAGTAACATATACCACAAAAATCACCTGATGGATGTAAAAACAATAAACAATTTTGGAAATTTTGACAATACATGCATAACATGTACACTCCCCTCCATAAGTTTGGCAACCTTTTTCCCCCATTGAACTACGTGTTAAAGCCTCTTTACCTTTGAATTTTTATTTACTTAACCTGCGATTAAAATACTTATACTATTGATGGAAACGTAATTTGACTTTAATTCCAATACCTCCAAATTTTCTAAATTTTTTCCCTCAATTACAATAGGTCGAAAATTGATGATGAATTTGATGAATTTTTGAAAATCGACATTCCCATGTTAACCAATGGGAAATGGTAGGTTTGCCGCAATTCATATGACAGAATATCCATTAATGTACACTCTTCATTATAATATAACACAGAGAAAACTGATGTTTGGGCTAAAAGTAGGCTTTTATTTATTCATTTACTATCAAAACATTAAATATGAGCATTTAGCGTAAATGAACACGGCCTGATTATAAAATAACATATAATACATACTGAACTTAAATAACATATCATACATTAGAACGAATGAAATTAAAACACATACAAAGACACACATAAAAAACAATATCTCTTGTTTTCACTTATTTAAATGTATAATTAATTATATTAATTAATGAAAACATTGGGTGGGAGGGATTTTAAAGAGGGTGTTGAAATTTCCACGTGTTGTGGACTGTCTTACATACTGAACTGAATGTCTTTATAAAGTACACTGGTGAAACTGGGGTCAACCATGCATTCATATAAATTGAAAAGATGCCAATTACACTACCCGCTAAAGGATTAGAAAACCTGGAAACTATCCAAAAGATAAATGGACAAACAATTACGTGATAAATATATGGCATTCAGATTCATTAAAAACATTATTCCAAATGGAATAAACTTCATCCATCCGAGTCCTTGCAAAAAATACGAGTTAGGCAGGTAATTGAATTTGCGAACTTTATTTATCAAAAAATTGATATGTTTCTTCAGGTTCAACAAAGTTATAGGGCTTTAAAGTCAAAATTGTTTTTCAAAAAACCTCTCCCATTGAAATAACACAGGAGGCGAAAAATAATTTTCAAAAATGACTTTGAAGCGCTGTAACTTTAATATTCATCAAATAAACTAAACACTAAGTGTTCAAAAAAGTTAGACAATTCAATTTTCTATATGAAAATATTTTTTGCTGAATCTTTTACTGAAAAGATATCCTGATTTCTGATTTGCCCTGAACCCTCCATTTCCCATTGGATTACATGAGAATGACGATTTTCAAAAATTCATCAAATTTATCATCAATTTTCGACCTATTGTAATTGAGACGCCTTCAAATTGGCCAAATCTAAAAGTAACATCAATATTTAAAAAAGGTATCACTACAAATCCTCATTTCTGTTTGATCAGTGTTTGCTTAAGTGTCAGAAAGGCTCGTGCACGCTGAACATTTGCATTTGTTCAAATTCGCTTCTCAAAAGAGAGCTTCGTCTATACTAGACTCTGCACGCAGGGTAATTTACGCCAAACTGATTATTTTTTTAGAACGTTTTGAAATTGTTTTAACTTATCAATATGGATTTCGAAAACTCTATTCTACCAAATGACTATTTTATATATCATTGAACAAATAGGAAAATCAACTGATTTCGGGGAAACAAACATTGATATTACGATGTTTCCAAGGCCTTACACAATTATCATGACATTTTAATAAAAAGACTTGAATATTATGGCATCAGAGGAATAGTTAAGTCCTGGTTTGAACACTATTTAAAAGAGAGCAAATAATGTTACCATTACCAATAATGAATCTAAACAATCATCTCTACATGTAAATTATGGTGTTCCGCAGGTCTCGGCACTTGGACTGCTACCATTTCCGTTTCACCGCAACATATGACTTACGAAATAAATTGAATGGATTATTATCATTTTACATGTAATTTGCACACAAAAACATGAGTTGTTATTTCAACTAGTATATTTTCCCTAACCTCGAGTGCCAAGGAAACCAGAATGATCCAGCTACATAACTGTTATTTATGTTCTTGTGACTATCTGTTTTCTATAATGGGCTCGCTGTATGAAATTTTCAAAATATTTACCGAAAACTCTAAATAATTGGGTGTTTTCAAACTCACCTATTATGACCTCAGAGGTCATTTTATAAATTTTAAACCACTTTGCAAGTCAGTATGGAATCCAGAATTCAAGTTAATTTTGCCAATTAACATTGATAACACTTTTAAAGGTCATGTTTTTTTATTTAGATAACTTTCTCAGATAATTGGTTTTCTATGCAGTGATCTCACAACTGGAACCGTACGGTAGACACATTTTGTCTACCATTTTGGATGAGACTGATTCCGGTTAGTTAGAAAATACTAATCCAATTGTGTTCATCTTTTTGGGAAAGAAAGAAGAGACTGTGTATGTACAGCCCCTGTTGTTAGTTAGTTGTAAAACATGATGCGCCCTGGACACCTGCTCAAAATACATTAGTAGAAAAACGCAGTCAGAGGTGACTGTCACAGCAATAAAACAGAATAACTTTCTAACCATAGTGTTTTGGCACTTCAGATTTGGCACAAATTATCCTCATTCAATGTGTGGTGAATTTTTGGAGTTTCATAAAAATCACTCCAGGGACTTTACAGTCATGGTCAAAATGCCTTCTTAAGTCTGCCTGAACCAGGGCGTTTTGCTGCATTTTGAAAGCATTTCGACCATAACTGTAAAGTCCCTTGAGTGATTTTGATTTCACTCTACAGAGTTACCATACATTGAATGAAGATGATTTGTGCTTTTGAAGAGCCAAAACACTATCATTAGGAACTTATTTAGTTTTTTTGCGGTTGCAGTCACCCCTGACTGCGTTTTTCGAATGTTTCTAATACTAATGTCTTTTGAGCAAGTGTCCAATGCATCATGTTTTACAATTAACCAACTAAAGGAGCTATACATACACTGTCTCTTCTTTCTTTCCTGAAAAAAAATGAGTATAATTGAATTAGTATTTTCCAAGATATAGCGATTTCTTTGGGTTGCGTTTTTTGAACACCCTATGGACCATTGCTTTTGCTGCAGGAGAATGACTGTTACTTAAATTATCTCATAATAAAAGTGTGCCAACTCAAGAAAGCTCATGTATGGTACAGTGACCACAATGATGATTGGCTGATAATGATCAAAAGTAAGAAAAGATAGATGTGTTGTTGGAGTAAAATATCAAATCAATAAACATTTATTAAAATAGTAAAATTATGATGAATGATAATCTTTCAGTATAGAAACATTTGGTGAATAAAAAAGTGAATCAAACCGTTGCTAGTATATTTGCACTCTTTGTTATCGGTTGAGATAGTAAAAAACTTGAAATGATTAAAATAGTATATCCAATTAGACAAAGGTTGCCAGAAAGGTTACACATTTATCTCTATGTGTTTGTAAACCAATAAATCACACAAAACAAAAAAATAAGATAACACAGGTTTTAACTATTTAAATAACCTGTCGATGATATATGTTTTTCTAAACTACACAATTTAAGACGGTTGAAGGTTTAATAAATATTCATGTATTTGGTATAATTTAATTAAGGGTTTTATGAGTAACAAGTGGTGTTCAACATACATGTTCATGTATACCTGGTACAGATTAACAGGTAAAAGTGATTTTTTACCCCTTGTTGAATGCTATTTTATTTTATGAAAGTGTTGATATGGTGATTAATATTTGACCATGTATTCAAACCCTGTTTTGAGGCTACCAGTGGAAAACACTGACCGGTCAGTGGTCGGTGGGGTCGGTCGCTTTTCGTAAACCCCTTTTATTCTATTGATAATATCCCATCTTCCCAGACTCTCATTGCGTTGCAGTATTAGTATAGGTGTTTTAAATCGTGAAATGTCTCTGCATCTATCATTTGTGAAAATGACGCACTTAGAACAATCGATTTATCTCCTCTTGGTATCTTTGGTTGTATTGGACTAAAGCATTGACTCTTAAAATATACTAAAATATAGCATAAAGGTCCACAATGCGTGTTAAAGGCTGTGGTGTGTACTTGCATGTCATTGTCTTTGTATGAGTGCACATAAAATAAAACAGAGCTCCTTCAAGGAGGGGTTTCTGGGTCTGTCTCTCAGGATTTATTATGTAAATTACGGCCGTACACCCAAGAGGTATTGATCACCTTCACTGTTGGTTAAAATACAATACAATAACCAGTCAACAGTTTGAAATTACTCGTACTTTTTAAATTATAGTTGTCCCAATTTTTTTGTAATAGAATTACTTAAGGGTATAACAAAATAACAAAATCTTTGTTTCTTTCAATTTAACGGTATTTCTTTCTGTATTTTGACCATTACATCAAATATGATGGTGTTAAAATGCAATCAAGTAATGCAGTAATTATAATCCAAGTAATAAACTCTCTGTATCAGCATAATATAAGTGCAATATTTAAAAAAAATGTAATAATCGGGTCATTCATGAAAGCATTTTCTGACTTGCTTCTTTATTACTTGACTTTAATAATCAGTTTTAGGAGTAGGCCCCCATATATGATTTATGCAAGAAATTATTCCTATATCCATAGGAGCAGCTACATGAAAATTCAGACAAAACTAACGCTTACCTCAATAGTCAGAATAGGAACTTGAGTTAAAGGCCATATTTGATGGAATGTCACCCTCTTTTAAATAAAACATCGGATGAATATGAATGAATATGAATGAATATGATATCAATATACGAATGATTATCACAAATCAATTTCAATGAGTGGATAAAAATATGATATATCATTCCAAAATACCAAGAGATTAATTACAAAGTACCATTTTTATGGCATTTTTTTTATTCCATAGTTAGCATGATATTAATAGGATAACATGTGAAAATAAAAACGGTATTTTTGTAATCAGTGGTAAAATATGATATTTTTGACAAATTTTCACTTAACCATAGCATATGGTTTTTTAGCCATGACATACGGCGCCGTATGCGATGGTTTATGGATTTTTGCTACTTCAGACTCAAAACGAGGCTAAATGTCAACATCGCCGGATCGTTTGGAAAATTCGAATTAAATAACTTAATTCCCGACGATTCTGATGATGATGACTTTAACTATGGAATAAAAAGAAGATCCTATGATTTACTCGTGATTGGATTTTAATCCACTCATGGATATCGATATCTGCACTCTCTCGCTACGCTCACTCGTGCAGATATCATATCCATTCGTGGATAAAAATCATATCACTCATAAATCATAGGATATCCTCTATTTATTCCATAATACTACTGTTTTCCCAGGGAAATATGAAGGAATAAAAATCGTATTGAATTGTATTACATGAAAAAATCGTATTGTCTCCGGGAAAAAATCGTATTGTCCCCGGGAAAAATCGTATTGGAGCATATTAACCTATTTTCGGTCTCCCGGTTATTTTTTCCCAGTTATCTGCATTATCTAAATGTAGCATTTTAGAGGGGTGTATTATGGAATAAATAGGTTATTTCTGGTCAGGATTGAATATGGGTTTTATTCCTCTGAAAATATGATATTGACCTTGGGCTCCCTCGGTCAATATCATATTGTCCCTCGGAATAAAACCCATATTCAATCCCTCCCAGTAAATAACCTATATGTATCATACCATATGGTCAAAGCAATATCAGGTGTGTAACGGCAAATGAACACTGACTCCCAAAATGACTTCCAGTGTTATTTTTATTTCTGTTCCAATGTTATTTCTCATTGTTTTTTTGGTAGACATGCACCTGGTACTTTATCATTAAGATCCAATAGAAAATAACAATTCTATACCTTTTAACATAAATTACATAGATTTGACTACTCTGACATTTTTGTGTCAATTATGTCAGTAATGGCGTCACAATTGAAACGCTAATGAGCTATTTTGCATAAATTATACTTCATCAAAAAGGAAAAAGCATTACCTTTCATTTCATACCAAACATTAAATTATCTGACGAAAAAACGAAAGCGATACCTCAAGATAAAACATACCTTGAGCCTTCTTTTTGATATTTCTTTCAAAGAGGATCAGTTTCAAAACAATTTTTGGATTGTGCATGTTACACTTTTGGAGCTCAATAAAGAAAATTATTAGACCGAAATGGCATATTTTATCCATCATTTTAAAGCTGGTATCGTACTCTTTCAAATGAATATGAAAAACAGAAAAAATACATCGTAATTTTAAATAACGGGACCTTTATATAGGTACACAGCTAAGTTTTATGTTAAAAACCTTTAAAAATTGTCAGTTATGACGTCACAATGGTTATGTAAATGAGCTAATTTACATAATCTATACCTCATTGTAAAGATGTCATCATGAGCTTTCATTTGATACCCATATTATAATTATCTGCTAGAAAATAAAAAGATATATGGGTATACATATTTTATCGTATTAACACTCATTAAAAGTGGAAGTTATTTATAGCGTCCGTTTCCATGGTAACGGCCAGAGTCAAAATTCTGTTAAACCTCAAATTTGCAATGCATGATATCAAAGCTTTCCGATGGTACCAAGATTTTGATGGGGGTCATTAAAATATAAAACTCCTTTATTTTAAGGCTTTGGAGGATTTTCCTACTCGTCTATTAAGCATGCTTCTTGACAAACACTTTTTATTTAAAGGTTCTGGAGCAAAGAATTCAGGACAAAATTGAGGTTAAAAATTAGCTTCTCGTTATGATTAGGCTTGAACATGACGTTAAGATAAATATTTGAATCATTATACATGTATTTCTATTGTACTTCATGTTTATTTCAGGGTGAAAGGATATTGAGTTCCAGTACAATATCATTCCATTACGTGGACCCTGGCACAATGTACTTTATAGACTTCCTCATCTATGACCTAAATGTGCATCAAGTGAGGGGTGACAATAGATATATGGGATAATAACCCAAAGCGGACATACAATGATATTTTTGGAACAAATGAATCAAATGGATGAGACGTTACAATATGTGACATTATGCATGAATATATACAGCATCATGTGTACATAATCTAAAGTAGTCTCTAAAAAAGAAGATAAAAAATGGAGAATAAGAGAGCAAAATATCCAGGAGATGTTTCAAAAAACAGATAACAGAAAGACTTGAATCAAGAGCTGGCATGTATGGGGACTGTATCCAGTGTTCCTTGCAAATTCTTCAATGTTATCTTTATTTCCTTTGATGAAATGTAGAAAATTAACAAACTATCATGTTTTCATGATTGTCTTGTAAATAAACTCAGCTTACCTTCATGCTATTTGACACCTCTTATTATATTGTGATTCAATGTAAACATCTGACACCATGTTTCAACATTTGTTGACATCAACTCTTCACATGCAAGAATTATTTCACAGACCAGTCTGAAACAGAATAAAGCATTGCAAGAAATATGGGATATTAAAGGTAAAGAAATATGGAATACTAAAGGTAAAGAAATATGGAATATGAAGGATAAAGAAATATGAAATATTAAAGGTAAAATTATGAAATATGAAAGTAAAATAAGGAATATGAAATATGGGGCCTTAACATAAGAGTTGACAAAATATGGACTATGAAAATCAAAAAATGGAATACAAAATATTTTCATGCAATGTCACACCTCCCCCTCAATTTGGTGTTAAACATGTATGCATGACACATGCAACTGGACTGTTACATGTCCAAATGGTGTCTAAATCAGGCAGTAACCATGGTAATATATCAACAAAGACAATACCATTGTTGCAGTTAGACTGACTATTTTATATTTGACTTATTCCTGTATATTCCTCAATGTATACATCCTATTCTATCTACATTACATGTTAATGTTCATTTGGCATTCAAAATATAAATTCATATGTACGTAATCGTCACAGAGATCTTTTTCATGTTCATATGTGACAGCACATGCAAGGATGCGACCAAGTTTTCCAAAACTCTCATCACTTTTTAATGCCTTGAAATATATCAAGGCTGAAAATACAATTGAGATCCCTTTGTTGTTAAGCAAAGCAGGAACCGTAATGTCAGTTTTGACTGACTTCACTCCACAGTTTAAGGTCGACAGTTCACATTTTGTCCAGTTAGCATCTTATTCACTCCACAGTTAGTAATTCTATATTTTTCATCCCACAATAAATGTATGTAATGGTGAATAAATGAAATTCATTCCACAGTTTGAGATTTCCTCTTGGTTGCAATGGGTTTTGGTTCTGGTTGAGTGGGTGTGGCATCCTCCTTGGCGAAACATATAAATCTGAGACGTAACTGGAGAGGCGGTCTGTAGTTTTTTATCAACTTTTCAATTTCATTTTTGATTCCATCCCCGATAAACATATACTTGATGTGATATCTGAGATAATGTTAAGGAAGGTAAATTAAAACGAACAAATTGCAGCAAATTGGTAAAGGAAGTAAGAAGCCTACAGTTGGATTTTTAAGTTTAGCTGGCAGTTAGTTTTGAAAAAGGGGACATTTTCAATGGACTTGGATATTTCTGCATTTTAAATCTTCAATAACTTCTATCACTTCTAATATAATCAGGATATGGTGTGAATGGGACATTTCTGGTGTTACTTGGTATGAACTTCATTTTGTTACGTCCTTGATTGCATTTTACACCTCCTTTGATCTTTTTAATTTTAGTAATTGTTTTCAATTACTAACAGAGTGTTTTATTACAAGAATAATGTAATCTCATAATTTAATCCATTATGATTTATTTATATTCATTTCAAATAACTTGGGGGCTGGGTTAATATTTCAATGCCTGTCAAAATATGTAATTAACTTAATTAGGTCTTGACCTCCCTCCCCTTCTAACGAAAATCAAAATGAATGATTTCCTACACTGTACAAGTACAACCCCAGCACACAATATCTGCTATTGCTGTAAACAACACATACAAATTCTCTTTACTATTTGATTGTGCAAGGATACAGGAAGTCACATATAGGGTCTATGTAGTGCAGGTGTTGCGCAGACTTGTCAACATTAAGTAGTACTTCATACAGTGTCTTTGTCAGCTGAAACATAAAACATATACATTTTAATATTAAATTTTTTTAAACTCACATTGTACAGTGTATATGGTGCATTCTAATCATTTTAAACTGTAATTGTTTTTTAAACAAATTGCTTTTTTTTTTTGTGAGGGTGGGATGGGTGTAATCGCACCACCTGGCTACACTCATGTACTTAATAAATCATACCTCTAGCAGACATCTGGTTCTCTCAGTGTGTAAGCGCTGTAGGAATGGCCCCACTAGGTGGCAAAGATAGATGAACTGTTCCTCTGTTTTGATCACTGGTTTCAACTTCTCCTCCACAAACCTACAGAAAATAAAGCTTATCTTGAGTTAAATCATGAAATTGAAAAGCCACTCTTATCAAGTCACACATGTTTTTTATTAAATATTTCTATACCTACTTCTTAGATTATATGCAAATGGATAATTCGTAAATAACATGTACTCGAACCCATCCACCCTTGTAAAGACCTTAACTTCATCTTCACTCTTTAAATTAGAGATTGTTCTTTGATCTAGAATATGTTTGATCACAAAACACAGTTAGAAAATTGCAGCACTACCTATAACATGTAGATGCTGACATTCATTTCAAATTCTAACTCCCTTAAAAAGCCCCAAAGGTTACATTTAAGATTATCAAGGTCTCACCAGCATAACACATTACAATAATCTTTAAAATTCAGAGGAAAGTATGGCTAATGGGGATCTGAGGAACTCAAATGTGTGAAATCCAAATCATACCCAGGGAGATGATTCAACTGGCCAGTGCTTGCATGTATCCAGACAGCATGACACAAGGCCAACACATCACTTGGTAATGTCCTACTGTAAACAGCATGACTACTGGAGAAGTTAAGCATCTGGAACGGGTTGCAGTCCCCACTGGGATTAGCGAATGTGGCACTTTGCATCACTTCCAGGATCTTCTCGTTCATCGTGCACCAATAACTCTCCTTGAATTCAATTATTATTTGTGCACTAATAAGTAGGTGAACATCATAAACAGTATCACTAAAATTCATTTAAAACCATGGTAATAACCGCAAAATTCTTAAATATCAATATTTGATAAAAGTAGCTCAAAATGACATATCTGGTCAGTTCTGAAAAGCCTAACATCACCCGATTTCGATTGCTACTTTTTTCTTTTTTTGAAAATGTTTACAAATATATAAGACATATGCAGTGGATAACTTACTGGGAGAGCAGTGAGGATAAGTCCAATAGCATTCATCCAAGACATCACCTTGTCAGCATCCACCTGGCAGCACCTGTTTTAACATAAATTACAAGATGCATGAGTCAATAGAATTTATCCAAGACAGAAACACATTTAACACCGTATGACATTTTTTATGATATTATGGAGTCTTAACCTACCCTTTTAGTACCAAATCAAGAAGAGCATTCCCTACAGTGACGCTAGCAACTGGGAGAGCCATCAACTCTACACAGGTTGCATGTAGGGCATGGGCCGCAGGGTTAGGGAACTCATTAAACCTCCAGTCACATCCGGGAAATGGAGAAGGAACATTTCCTGCTACAGCTAGCGATTGTTAAGGAACAAATATGTCAACTTTCGACAGACCATAATTAATGAGCGTGCCTATTTCAGTTTAAAATACAGTGTTATTCTCTAGACGTCCTATCATTACAAAGGTGGTCCTGATTATAACACAAGAAATGTTTCATTTGTTTCAAGCTAATTTGAGCATTTCACTCATTATTCTGCAAAGATTTTGAAGCAAAATATTTGCTTTGATTCAATGTCAAATGTATTATCATTCTAGTAGAACTAATTATATACGAGATATATATACATGTGGCTGATAGTGCTGATGCCCAGCCACAAGCACATGTGCACTTGTTATAAAGTATTCTTTGTATAAATAAATAAAAAAAATTTATATTCGAACTTTTTAGAACAAAAAAGTACTAGGTTAATGATTATTCCTTTTTTCCCTTTTTCACACAACCCTGAGTTTTGACAACACTGTTGTTTACTTAATTGCTGGTTATTTCAGATTATTTTAGATTTTAAAACATAATATACATCGTAACAATTTCACATTTGACATTATTTCTTCAAGGATACTGTTGACTAGTCTTGCGACAAGCTTCATATAATATTCTTCCTCTGGTATCCAGTTGATGTCATCAGGCGGTCTTTGCATATACTGTAGGTAGTCTTGACTTAGGCACCAGTTTGTGGGTCTTATCTCCTCCATTGCACCTAAAGCATACAAGATAGGGGTACAGTATAACATGTGCTTGAACACATTTCAAATTATGCATTAGGGTGTTTATTTTATTGAAATGATTAATTGTATTAGTCACAACAAAGAGCTTTGATCTTTAGTGGCTATTTTGAAGAAATACAAGGCATCAATATGCAAAATGTCACTACCTGCCATTTGTTACAAATGCTGACCAGCGAATGCCAAATGCTGACTGCCAAACGCTAAACACCTTCCACCCTTGTGAAGGTGACATAATAATGTAAAACAATTATTCCTCAACATTCAATATATCTCCACAAGCTCTCCCCCGCCCCTTATACATACATACCAATTATTGTTTGCACCAGCTTTCTTTTAAGTCCTGGCCTTTCTTTGAGTCGTTTCTCATAGTAATGTAGTGTGTTGTACAAGTACGTGATTGGCCGGTCTACACAAACAAATAGTATTAACAATTTTTAAAATGATATATAGAGGTTCTTATATGAGTACCTGTGCAAGACCGTCCATTCTTGATGAGCTTTGATAATTCTTCTTCGACGAGATAAAGAAACATTATCAAAGCGAGTCAAGAATGGACGATATTGCACAGGTACGAGTACAAGAAAGTTTTTCTCATATGACTCTGTAGTATGCCATATTTTCACCATTTTATCATAAAACTGAGTGAAAAATAGCTTCAAATTAATTGAACTTCATCTTTCAATTGTTATGACGTCATAACAATATTGAAGAAAATACATAGATACACGTGGCAACAAAGCTCCATTGTTATGACGTCACAACTTAGTTTTGTAGAATAAGCATGGATACGCATAGCAACGGTCTGTCCGTTGCCATGTTGTTGATATTTATAGACCAGTGATGTCACAAGTAAATCTCATCTTGCACGTGTGACTTTTTAGGATGAAAGATGGCAATATCTTGCATGGGGTAAAGATCACGGTGTATAACCCAAACGCTTCTACATGCACGACGGAGCGTTTCATTACTGAAATTAAACAAAGAAACGCTCCGGAGTAGGAAAACTGGCTGGCGGGAATGATGAGCCGTCTGACGATTTCCCCAATAATGGGAATAAGAGGTATGAGTTACATATTTCGAGTATACCATTCGATGGGTGCGATATTCATGTTGTACTTGACTGGCTGTTGACGTTTGAAGCAATTAGGAAGAGCTGTACGAAGCAGTATAGTCATCAAAATCCAAAAACGTTATTGTCATTCTACCGGTCAAAACCCCTTTTGTCGATACATGTGATTAGTTGAGCCAAGATTAGAGCACCAACGTATATTTTAGTCAAATTCCAATGCTTCAACGCACCATAAATTATCGTAATAGTGATTTGATGACCGAAAATCCCGTCTAAAAAATGATGACATTCTCATATTCAAGAAACGCTCCGATCTGATTAACACAGTGAACTGGAAACGCTCCGGTAGTCTAGATCAGTTTAGGAAATATATAGCTTGCCTTTCCTTTTCAGGAAGAGAAAGAAAAGATCTATTATACCCTTGGCATCAATAGAAGAAAGATTAATTCACATATAAATTTTCGTTTTTTCCTATAGTTTTATGATTTAGCACATATATAGGCATGACATCATCTAATGTATAGGCTTAAATCAGCTAGTTGCAGGTTTAGCACCACCAGGTTCAGATGTTTCAATTTGCCTAACAAGTACAACACGTTTTTAAGAGATAGATTCGATTCGGGACTCTTCTCTAATAATCTGAAAAAGATATCAAAACAAAATGGTAAGAGCGTTTCTAAAATTGTGTTCTAAATCGACGGAGCGTTTCGAGGAAAACAAGCGATTTCTCGAGAACAAGTAATGGATTTGGACTGGGATTTTAGGAAATGAGAATATACAAGTTTGTGATCTACTACTTTAACAGAAAGATTAACGTTTTCATAGAAATACTAGTTTAATTCGTAATTTGTGGTCAAAAGGTCATCTTCAGTTTCGTTCGATCTACACTACGGAGCTTTGATCAAGCAAATAACAGTTTACCACCAGAAGTTGAATAAATAAGATCTTTGCTCACGGTATTGTTCATCGAATGGTACATAATATTTCACCATTACATATGATATGTAAGAGAAACGAGAGAAACAATACTTACGGTCATACGTGGAATCTTCATTAGCCGCCATTTTATTTCGCTCCGGAGCGTTTCCGCGTAAATGTAACGCTCCGTCGTGCATGTAGGAGCGTTTGGGTTATACACCGTGAAGATGGCTGTACCTTTGTTAGTCATATGAGAAAAAATGATTCAAGTTTTGTTTTATTTTACAAATGGTCAATTTTCTTCTAAGTTATACGAGTTATAGTTATACGTACTATTGATTTTAGTAATCATATTGTATTTTAATACTATTGTTATATTATGTACATGTAAGTCTCAGACAAACCAATTGTCAGTTCCATTAATATGATAAGTGTAGCTTCCTAATAAAGAAATAATTGAAAAGGTTAAGCCGGATAAAAAGCACATTTGCAATAAGAATTTTTTTTTATTTCAAATGATCTATTCCTATTTGATTTTTTTTATTCATTAAACATGCATACAGCCAAACAATGAAGAATAACATCTAATAAAACTCACCATGGAATTTGTAGAGCCCACCTAGGTGGTCAAGTATTGTCTCTAGTGACTTAGAAACTGGTGGGAGCTCAAGGAATCGGTGAACTATGATGTCAAACACCTAAATAAATAAATAGTGAGGCTAAAGTATCAATTCCTGTAAATTTATATTAAATGCGATTATCCTCACGATCAATTCTTTCAATAACATGCATGTAACACATGTAAATCTAAGTATTTTGTCTGAAGAATAGCTGTATGTTGAAAACTAATCTATGACAAAATATCACCAGCTGTTTGCAATTACAAATGTGTACACAATTTGTACATATTGTGATGCCAAATGTAAGACACAAAAATGGTGGCTTTTACAATCTGTCATCACTTCTTGATGGTGACATTAAAAAATGAGGTTTGAGTATTTTAGAGAAGATTAGCACTTACTGGAATGAACCTCAGGCAAACATTGCCAAAGTATATGGGGAGATATTGATGCTGGCTTTGGTCTGGCATCCCCTCATTGTAATAGAACTTCTCTGGGAATTTCTGCAAAATAGTGCAATAAAGGGGGTCCATTAATGTCAAGTGAGGTATCGTATAAGGTATATGAAGAACCCCTTAATACTTCTCTCCATAATACAAGTATTTAGATCCTTAATCTATTGGAAAACTTTTCTAAAGGTAGATAATTGTGGATTTCCTCATTTTTTTATTCAACTTTCAGATTAGTCTATTAATTATGACAAAAATTATTCGACCAGTCAGCACATTCATAACAAAAATTAGCACATAGAGCGGCGGATTTAGAGCTTCTTTGTTGGTAAGCAGATAGGTGAATATGTGGTTCTGCTCAACATGCAAAAAAGTCCAAGGGGGCCTTGATTGTGCTTTCCTATTGCAACATCCCTATTTAACTGAGTCAAAAGTTGGATTTTGGATCTTATCTTGGAAAATTGATGCAAATGTTAATGTTTTTGGCCCCAATACAACAACAAGAACAGAATTTTTTCCCTGCTTTGTCCAATCTGTCAATATAGACTATAAGATATATAGACTATACTCTTGGGAATGTTTTATCAAGGTTACTAAGACAGGCTGGATTTATGAATTCATGTGAAAAGTAGCTGTCAATAGCATGTAAATAGTACATGAATTCCTTTCGGTACATGTCAATAGCAGGTATCTGCATTTGATCGAAATGCCCCTGTACACATATGATGAATAATAAAGATGGCAATGTTGCTAAATGTTACCGAACATACCAAGTGGAACTCCATGTGTCTCTCATGCCAATTACTTTCCAGCCAATGTTCCGGGGAATTCTGAAATCGCAAAGTTACAGATGAAGCTACCTGAATGCAAAGTTACAGATGAAGCTACCCGAATCCTTAGACAGTTTGCAATAAAAATGGATTTCATAATATATATATTGTTAAGGTAGACACTTATCTGATAAAATTGAAAATGGAGTAAACAAGGAACAATCAAAAACTGTAATATGATATCAGAATTTTAGACGGTTAATTCATGACCTTCAGGATTTTTTCACTTGTCATTGAACATGTATACTTACATTGCCAACAAATTCCACAACACGCTCCCTGAACTCTGCTGGCTTCAGTAGAAGTAACTGGATAATAAACAGACAGATCTGGGCCTCATTCCCTTCCAAACTTCGCAGTGCCTAAAAAGAGTAATGATATCTCTGATGGATGTAGTTGAGTTGTCCCCACACATGCCCAACACACTAAGATCAATCGCCACATTGATCGAAACTAACCCCTTCTGGGTTTCATCCAACCCAATTCCACATTTTTATACTTTTATACTCAGTTTTCTCCTTTAAAGTCATGCTTTAAAGGACACTTCAGACTTATGCATTATGAGCTTTGTAAAGTTGTACAATAAATGGTAACTCACCAATGTAAGGACTATTCTGTCAACACTCAGTATACTGCACTTCCATATCATATCATTGAGGGCCTCAACACACTGAAATAAAGAAAACAAAACCATAAGAAGGGGAGGGGTGTTAAATGAGTACAATCACATGCTCAATCTTAAATATTCAGATGATCCATGATGAATGACTTTGACTGATTTTTTGTAAATTCCTTATACATGTATCTTTTACTACACTTAATTCACTTTTTTCATTACTTGATTATGCACCCTTTGTGTGCCCAGGTGATTCTTATAAAAATAATATACCGGAGTTCCATCTTAAATTATGGTTTAAATCACTACATACTGTTGTAAAAACAGATTATGTTTATATATGATTGTATTGCTTCAAGTAAAAAACTTTAACTTTTCTTTTTGAAAATAAAATTATCTTTAAAAATACATAAATATAATTTCATCTTCTGACATAGCATATATAATTGTTATAATATAATTGTTATAAAACAAAACTTTTTTGTTTTATAACAGTTTATTGAAGTATTTATTTTTGATACCTTGTTAACTTGCTGGCCTCTAGCTGTTGTAGTGAATTCAAATACAAGGAAATCAGCAAATGTGCGGAGGTGAGCAGACACTGTTCTCGGTCCCAATCTATCTAAAACCCTACAATTAAATATGGATTATGTGATAGTGAATCTTTTGATAATACCATGGGTTTTCTATTGAAATCCCATGATAGTATGCTTTCCCAATTTGATGCAACACTTTTGGGAAAAATATGACTTTCTACAATAAATATGAAAAGACAACTTTTATCTCTAGTTCTACATGAAATGATCAAAATCATAACGAGAAATGAAAGAACAAAGTGTAGACTTCTAAATAAGTGTACAACTCTCAGTTCCGCAACACCTCAAAGTCATAGCTAATCCATGGATTATCACCCACACATGTTTTACACACTCTTATACACCTATAAAAATTATGCATTTAGAAATCACAATTTTTTCATATTTGTGACTCCTTTAATATGTCTACATGAAAATATTTTGAGTCATTTTAATATTATCAGTTAGTTCACCGAAATGATCACTCCTAATAGAGAAAGTTGTCCACTGCATAACTGTTTACATTTCAGATTGGCCCATATTCCTCAAAACATTATTAATGAGGTAATTTTATCAAATTAAAATTAAGCCTCGTTTTAAAAACCAACAAGGGATGATTCCCTCTCCCATACATAACTAATAACATTTACAGCATACATTGATAACTGTCACTTACACCAGGCATGTCACTTTCATTAAACCAATAGTTTGTATTACATGTACTTACTTGTATGCCACTGGGTTGAACCTGCCATCTTCCAACACAGCCTTCCAAAGGATACTGAAAAATAACAAATAGGTACATCATGTAGCCAAGAAGTTAACATAAACTAGATATTGGAGACTCAAAGTATCACTATATATTTGTTAACTTGGAAATACCTGAGGGTGGCCAAACATTTTACATCAGAAAATGAGTTCCTGCTATGTGCATCAATCACAGAATAAAATATTCATTCCATTCAACTCAACTAAAGTAATGTTATATAATGTTATATGAAAAGAACATTGTGTCAAAAATAATAATGATCCTTTTGAATAACATCATTAGAGCAGCCTATTAGATAAATCCAATAGTGAGCTAATAAAAATTGTCTTGAGAGTAATTTGTGCTCTCTCATTGTTACATGTATATCTAGCGTACATATAGTAACATAGAGTGGTGTATACCAACCATAGGAATAGTGGAGGACTCCCTGCCATGGAGAAATGGGCTATCAGATCAGCCTCTGATGTCATGCCTACAAAACACAAAACAATACATCCATTTACTCTGAGCAAGTAGCTTCACTCAGATACTCTTAGTTTCTGAGAAAATGTGCCCACATGATAATTTTGAATAAAAAATCGAGAATGTCATTTAGTGTCAACACTGTGTTGTTAGCATATAGAAATCATTGTGCAGCCTTCAATTGATGAGAGCTAGGCCTGTACAACCAATACTGTTAACAATAAAACTTACTTTTCCATTTCCTGTACTCAAGCTCAACATTCTGTTTGAGTTGCTGCTTGTCCTCCTTGGGAACAGCATTCTGGTTGAAGAAATCCTGTAGAGCTGGTGGAAAGCATGAGAGGGTGTGACTGGACCAGCCATGAGGTGTGTGCTTCATTAGGGTGGTCATTATCTCCTTACACCATGATGCAGACATTGTCTCTGAACCTATAAAATTAATACTTGTAAAAGAATGAACACAAATTCCAGATACCAATCTCACAGCTTCAAGTTTAAGACATCATTGCTTATCTCAGAAAGTCCGTGATGCTCCTTTGCACACTCCCCAAATTCTACAACCCAAAAAGGGGGGTGTTGCTAAATCTCAAACAAATCAGTGTTTGCCATGATTTTCTTGTCTATATTGTTCTATAGAACATGACTCTAATGAAGTCTTATTTGCTGAATGCTGATGTCTACCTGTTACTTGCAATGCTCTGGCAAGAGTTAACACCAGTGCTCTGTTCAGTTCCTCAGATTCCCCTGATAGTAAGGCAAGATTCTTAGACTCATTAAACAATCTTGAAAGCTGTGGTTGTACTTCAGAACTACCAAGGCCAGTGATCAGTCTCAGAGCTGTACTTTCAACACTGAAAATATATGGAATTCATTTAAGAGTCTTTGAAAGCTGCAGTTGTACTTCAGAACTACCAAGGCCAGTGATCAGTCTCAGAGCTGTACTTTCAACACTGAAAATATATGGAATTCATTTGAGAGTCTTTGAAAGCTGCGGTTGTACTTCAGAACTACCAAGGCCAGTGATCAGTCTCAAAGCTGTACTTTCAACACTGAAAATATATGGAATTCATTAGAGAGTCTTTGAAAGCTGCGGTTGTACTTCAGAACTACCAAGGCCAGTGATCAGTCTCAGAGCTGTACTTTTAACACTGAAAATATATGGAATTCATTTGAGAGTCTTTGAAATCTGGGGTTGTACTTCAGAACTACCAAGGCCAGTGATCAGTCTCAGAGCTGTACTTTCAACACTGAAAATATATGGAATTCATTTGAGAGTCTTTGAAAGCTGGGGTTGTACTTCAAAACTACCAAGGCCAGTGATCAGTCTCAGAGCTGTACTTTCAACACTGAAAATATATGGAATTCATTTGAGAGTCTTTGAATGCTGAGGTTGTACTTCAGAACTACCAAGGCCAGTGATCAGTCTCAGAGCTGTACTTTCAACACTGAAAATATATGGAATTCATTTGAGAGTCTTTGAAAGCTGCGGTTGTACTCCAGAACTACCATGGCCAGTAATCAGTCTCAGGGCTGTAGTTTCAACACTGAAAACATTCAGAAATAGAAATCATTTCAGTCTTTCAAAGCTTAAAACCATCAAGGATAGAGAAGAATGAATGATGTTACTTACCAAAGATGAAGTTGATTCTGATTGGTTTGAGGTACAGATGCCAATGAGTGAAGGTGACTGAGAAGCTGTACTCTGTAATGGGGCTGTATATGGTGAAGACGATAGCTGAACATCTCCAGCAGGGTGTGAAGAATCCCCCAGGCGTGACTCTTGAACACATTTGGAAGCAGCTGACCTAGATGAACAAAAATGAATGAATGGAGTAAAATTCAACATAGCCAATATGATCATAGAGCATAATTAAAAATAAATTTCAATTTCAAAGTATGATCGCTTGATAATGTTCATCATCTCCTTGTTCCAATCATCATGTTTACAGTAAAAAAAGGTCGAGAACTCTTTTTTTGTATATACAAAAGTTAATTGAAAGAAGCTATTGAAGGTACTGTACTCACTTATGAATCCTTTGATTCCGAGAGATTCAATCTCCATATAAACCAATAGTCGACTGTATGTCTCAACCAGGGCTGGAGCTAAGGCAACTGGGGATTTATTCTGCGCCAGCCGGATAACCTTGCTTACAATGCCATGTATAAGACTGGAAAAGAAGTGAGTTAGTTAGAAGACTTAAGCATGAAAAGCCAAAAAGTGAGGTTCAGTGGAGGTTTAATTACAATGAAAATTAAAAATTTGGGAATTATCTTTAGTATTCAAAAGTTTAATTTAATTCCAATTGAAATGGGTTAGAATGACATTCAGTGATGCTATGGATTCATTTTTGTTATTCCAAGGGATCTTCTAACATACATTATTGAAAGGAGGATGATGTTTTTGAAAGGGCATTCACTGTTTGAATAGAGCATTGGGAAATAAGAGGAATGAGTCAAAACATTGTGACTTACCTCATCTTAGCATGGACTGTGAGAGAATCCAACATCCTCATGGGTAGGGGTTGCGTGGGGGAGGATGACTGGATGTTGCCTGGCAACATTGTTGTGTTTTGTTGAGTCCCATATATGGTCTCAATGAGGATTCCCATAGGGTGAGAGAAATAATCAGAGTTTGTGCTATCTAGAATCAAAAGAGCAATTAACCCCCATTAACCATAAAACATTACATGGGCACAGCATTTTGAGAACACATAAATAAAGAATTGAAATACTGAAGAACCTGTCAAGCCGTATACTTCTGTATAAGCAACACTTCACAGTTTCGTGAGTCATTGAATTTGTGGTAATTTAACCTCTTTAAGTGGACAGCCTCATTAAGTGGAACAATTATCAGGGGAACAAATGGTGTTCCACTTACACAGGGTTTACTGTATTCTCTTTTTGTCACACTAAAATTTAAAAGAGAATTGATTGAAGTCTGATTTAGAGTTTCAATTCAAAGAATTTTGTAAGATGGGATGAATCATTATAAAGACATACTTTAGATTAAAAGTCTGAAATCAATATTAATATACTAGTATACAAAAGTCTTCCTGTAACTGAAACGATGAGATTTCATTGTAAATAAGTACATGTACATGTACAATTTATGGACTTACAGGCATTGCACAATAGTGCTATTCTGAAGTCTGTCATAGGAAGAACTCTCTGTTTTATATTTGTTTCCAAAAACCTGTAAAAGAGGGAAAAAACTAAAAGATTATTTTACAATAGCTTATCTTAATCATAAATACCTGAAACAGCTGGAGATCACTTGGATGATTCAGAAAGTTTAAAGATATTCTTAATATAATTTCTCGATTGGCTTAAAAAGCTAGTTTAGACATTTTTCAATAAAATTAACTTTAAATAAAATCTATTTTGAAGATTTATCTTTATCTTATTTAAAGTTTAACATATCTCATCTTAAAAGACTTGTCTACAAAATAATCCAAAGAGGTTTAAATCTATAGCCTGCTTTACATTCTGACATTTCTACTTAATTTATTCAGCTCATTCAACTTTTTGTTTTTTAAATGTTATCTCAGTGCAGGAACCCTTTGTATGTACTTATTATCATTATGTTTATTCATTTTATTCATTATACCTTTATGAACCATTGAACTTGAAGTACTATACTTTGAGAGATTCATTTATACTAAAACAATTACTTACTCAAGGTGACCTTTAAGTAGGTTAGGCATAGGACGATGTAGTTTAACACAATCAGTCTGCGCCTTTTTATCTAGGTGGATCCATATAGATGTCACTGCCATCTTATGTGTACACTGAGCATTGTTTATGTCAGGAACATCTAGAACTGTCTTCTCTGGGTAGAGGAGGTCATAGAGTTTCAGTACTGGTAGGAAGTCATTTAACTGAAACAAGTATAAAGGGTATGAAGTAATGATAGGATTTAACTCCTCTAGTCACGTTTTTGAAACGATCATACACTCATACATCTATCTTGAACATATACTTTCCAATCTGAATTTGTAAGCCTATATGTATCTCAGTTTTGATTATTAAACCAGAACAACGGCAACGCCAAAGCGTAGCGAATCCCATCGAACAGAAATGGCTGGCATTTTTACAAACGAATAGCAAATATCATAAAACAACACACCAGAAAGGCCACCATTTTCAAAATGGTTGCTCACTAGCCAAGTTGTCATCAGAAGAAATAATATGCTTTTAAGTAGCCACCTCTAAAATTTTTGAAAAATCGCACACGAACTTGTAAAATAACACACATAAAAATGGTGGCCATTTTTCAAAATTGCCGACTACTCCCCAAAGTTTTATTAGACAATGTGCCATGCTTAAAGTATTCACATATCAAATATGAACAAAATCGCTCCACTACTTTTCGAGTTATAGTAAAATACGTTAAAATGGCGGCCATTTTTCAAAATTGTTTTCAAAATGGCCGCCTTCTACCAAAAGTGTCATAGGACAGTGTGCCATGCTTATAGTATTCACATACCAAATATGAACAAAATCGCTCCACTACTTTTCGAGTTATAGTAAAATATGTTAAAATGGCGGCCATTTTTCAAAATGGCCGCCTTCTACTAAAAGTGTCTTTAGACAGTGTGCAATGCTTATAGTATTCACATACCAAATATGAACAAAATTGCTTCACTATTTTTTGAGTTATAGCAAAAATCGTAAAATGACGAGTAAAGGCCGCCATTTTTCAAGATGGCTGCCATGTGCTTCTTTAATATCTACATTTGTAGCATTATTAATCTCCTTTATAATTTTTTTACATTTAAAACATATTGCTATTACAGTTTTACATATTACACCTAAATTACTGTAAAATCGGCACTAAAATGGCCGCCATTTTGAAATGAGCGGCCATTTTGAAAATCGGCTTTCGAGCAGAACTTCTACCCCCATAGGGTATATGTGTACAAAATATGAACAAAATCGGGCCAACGGTATTTGAGTTATTGCCCGGACGGACGGACGGACGGACAGACGGACGGATGGACGGACGGACGTACGTACGGACGGACGGACGGAGGCGTTCCCTATATCCCTCCGAACTTCGTTCGATGGGATAATCATTACGTGTTATCTCAAACTCCAACAAGGCATTAACATGACAAAATGTCACCACCTTGTTGCTCATAATATTATGAGTTCAATCTAAAGTCAGATTTGAACTTCTGAGAACTTGTAGATGATTTTGAAAAAATAAAACTGGTCAATTTGAAGCAAGATAAAAAAGACCTTTTTGACCTTGAGAAGGTTATTGAAGGTGATATCTTATTTGACCTTCAGAATGTCATTGAAGGTCAAATCTTTAGTCAGATTTGAACTTTTGAGAACTTGTAGATGATTTTGAAAAAGAGTTGGTCAATTTGAAGCAAGTTGAAAAAAGACCTTTTTGACCTTTCTTGACCTTGAGAAGGTCAGTGAGGGTCAAATCTCAAATCTAATGATAGGATTTAACTCATCAAGTCATGTTTTTGAAACTATCATAAACCAATACATCTATTTCGAACATATACTTTTCAATTAGAAATCGTAAGCATATATGGATCTCAGTTTTGATTATTAAATCATTACGTGTTATCTCAAACGCATTAACATGACAAAATGTCACCACCTAATTGCTCATAATATTATGAGTTCAATCTTTAGTCAGATTTGAACTTCTGATAACTTGTAGATGATTTTGAAAAGAATTTAAGTCAATCTAAACAGTATTTGTTAAGTTATTGGAAGTTGTAAGAATTTGTTACCACTTTTTGGTGGTGACATAAAAATGACTTTCACAGTCAAATTGGTCAATTTGAAGCAAGTTGAAAAAGACCTTTTTGACCTTGAAAAGGTCACTGAATGTCAAATCTTGAATATAAAGTCAGATTTGAACTTCTGAAAATTTGTAGATAATTTTGAAAAAAATTGAAGTAAGTCTAAGAATTTGTTACCACTTTTTGATGGTGACATAAAAATGATTTTCACAATTCAGTAATTAATATTTTTCAATTTTTGATCTTCAAACTAAATTACTTGTACTCGTATATGTAGAATTTAGTAGGACGCATATTAGGCAGTGGTTTACAATATCCTTACAGGGTTTTTCTGTATGCTGCCAGATATGAACTGTAGTAAAACCCACATGAGATGATCTCGTCCTTTTCTTAGTTCCCGTCCTTTCAACTGAAAGTGCAAGATAAAGGAGACAAATAGAGCTTGTCCAAACGCTATTTAATTAGTAAATGCAAAAGTTGGGATAACCCGGTGTTTACTCATCTTAGAATCAACAGCAGAAAGACAAATAGCATATTATGTATTACAATTTCAATGTATTATTCATTACAAGTACATAATAAAATATTTTCATCATAACTTACTACATTATGCTTTCATACCTTACCTTATCATACAATGACATGACCATATGTGGGAAGCTAGCGAATTGAAACAGAACAAAATAAATGAGCTGACTTGATAAGTGTTGCCATAGTAACTGACTGATTTCTTTCTCCTCTGATGAGTTCCCATCTTCCTCTGTTTTCTCCATGGCAACTACTACTAGTTCAACTACTTGTTCCTCAAGCACGATGCAACGGTATTTAGTCTGAAAAACATAACATGTAAATTTGTCTCTTGGTTTTCTTTTTAATTTTGTTATAGCAACACTAAGGATCTACAACAAGTATAAAGATCTATTATCTCTTTTTCGAATGAAAGTTTTAAGAATGATGTGAGTGTAAAATATAACAGTATTTTTCATGTTTTAAAACAAATTTTAAGAATAATATTATTTTTCCTACGGCCAATAATTATATCCTAGCCTAAGAATGAGTGTTGCCTGAACTAGCTACTGACTTAAGTGAGTCAAAAAGAAAAAAATGCTTCAAACTATTGAGGGGCTCTTGTATTTTTAATCTTTAACTATGAGCTCCACACATCAAAAAAGATAGATATCCTTTATAATATGATAATTCCTCATCTCAGATGCCCCATGTTACCCACATACATGTACCTGTCTATTGAGGCTTAGTATATTGCACACCATGTCCCTTGAATAAGGCTGTTCCAGCACATATTGCAATAGTTTAGTCTGTGGTTCATACAGCTCCTTATCATAGGGTAATGGCCCAGTTCTGGGGAACTTTAGCTCTGCAGGGTTTAGTTTCCACATGTTAGCTTGAGAACTGGAGTGACCAACGATTGGTAAGAGACTTGAACGTCCTGAAATTAGTGTCACAGATGCAAACAGAGATGTTTCAAGTATTACACTCTTGATATAGCGAGAGATATTTGAAGTATTGCAATCCTGATATAGAGAGAGATAAGTGTAGTATTGCACTCTTGATATGATATTATGAGAGATATTTGTAGTATTGCACTCTTGATATGATATTATGAGAGATATTTGTAGTATTAAACTCTTGATATAACATAACAAGAGATATTTGAAGTATTGCACTCTTGATATGATATTATGAGAGATATTTGTAGTATTGCACTCTTGATATAACATAACAAGAGATATTTGAAGTATTGCACTCTTGATATGATATTATGAGAGATATTTGTAGTATTGCACTCTTGATATGATATTATGAGAGATATTTGTAGTATTGCACTCTTGATATAACAGAACAAGAGATATTTGTAGTATTGCACTCTTGATATAGCGAGATATTTGAAGTATTGCAATCTTGATATAGCGAGAGATATTTGTAGCATTGCACTCTTTTTTTTTTTTTTTTTTTTTATTCATAGAATTTATTTTACAAATAAAGTACATAAACATTATACACTTGTAGTGGCTTTGCTGAAGGCATTATCAGCCACTTGATTTATAATTGCAGGGTGAAGAAAAAAGAAAAATTTAAATATGGACTCAAGAGTGAAGTGAGTGGTGGCAGGGAAACCTACACATTTGCACATTTTTCTAAAAATGATGCAGTGAGCTTGAGAATTTTCAAATTAGTGGATTTAGTTAAGTTTGAATCCCCATAAAGAAATAATTCTACTTTGTCCCTCTTGTGTTTGAATTGAGAATAACCAAAATTAAGAAAAGCTAAATTGTTTTCCAACTCTTCTAAGAATGGAGCACGGAGAATACAGGAAAAAATGACATGAATTGTTGTTTCATTTGCATGGCCACAAGAACATGCAGGTGAAGTAACGTTTGTAAAATTATGAGAGTATAGATGGGACTTAAAAATTAAGTCACAACGAACCTTGTTAAGTATAATTTCTTGATTTCTTGAAATATTAAGTTCAGAGGATCGAATAATTGAATTAGATAACTCTTTCTTTGCCCTTGACTTAAATATACTTAAATTTTCAGCTTCTATGAGGGGCTTTGAAAGGGTATTCCAATCTATCATAGCTTGTAAAATACAGGATCGATGTGAAAATGATGTAATTTTTGTTGGGATTTGGAAAGGAGCAATTCGTCGAACATTAACTGTATGATGTCTACGAAATCTTTGGAAAATACTTGAAACATATGATGGTAACAAATTATTCTGCGATCTAAATACAAGAATATTGCGGTGATATTTGCGTCTTTCTGCTAATGATGTCCAATTTAAACAGTTCAAAACTTTAGTACATGATGTACCATGAATGACTCCAGAGCATATGCAGGCTGCCTTATAATAAAGCTGATCAATTAATTTTAATTTTGATAAGTTTGCACATGAGTAGAGGATATCACAATAGTCAAAAATCGGGAGAACAAATGACTTGAAAATTAGTTCCAAGTGTCTACCTCCTAATTTCTTTTGGAGTGATCTGAGTGGGTTTAAGTGCTTTTCAACTTTTTTGTATAGTTTTTGCACTCTTGATATAGCGAGAGATATTTGCACTCTTGATATGATATTATGAGAGATATTTGCAGTATTGCACTCTTGATATGATGATATGAGAGATGTTTATATTATTGCACTCTTGATTATAACGAGAGACATATGAAGTATTGCACTCTTGAAATTATACAAAGGCAATAATGCAGTATTGCAGTATCAATCATCATTATATCATCCTCACCTGCAGTGGTCAACATCTGGGCAACAGGTCTAAAACTTTGCATAAAGTCAGCCAGATCTTTGCCTAGAATCTAGAAATAATCAAATAAACAACAACTGTACTACATGTAAAATGTCTAGAGATCAAAACTATTAGCCAATATCTCTACAGAACTTGTAAATCCATATTATTCTTAATATTTTTCAACATTTCAAATAAAAGTTTTGTATAATATATCCAGTTTGCATCTCTTTGAAACACTCATTGATAGGCTTGAAATGTTTTGGAAATCAAGAGGACCTTGGGAATAGCGATGACAGATGAAATGGATACTATGGAGAGGCATATAATGAATGTAGATAAAACCTAATTACAAATAGCAGTTTTATCAATGGATGGACCAACAGACAGACGCCAAAGTGGATGACAGATAGCCTCACTGTGTGAGCCAAAAACAGGTGAGGAAAAATTTGAGTTAAAGGTGATTTTGTACAATTTTGGGGAAGTTATTACTAGCTATACCTCTGCATTATTGTATTTCAAACTTGAAATACTACTTGATGTATAATACATCTATCATAGACGGCATATTTGGTCAGACAAAACAATTGCAAAAAAAATACATTTTCCAAATTAAAAATCTGGTCTTCAACTATAGCCTTCCTATCTAGGCCCAAGCTATCAAAATAAAGAATACATGTACATGTATTTCACATAATATATTAGACACTTACCCAATGAGGCCACAGCTTGTTTGGTTGTTGTATCTTTGTAATTTCATTGATGGCAAAGTAAGCTGGCAGTAAACAAGCATTTCTATTCAATATCAGAAGCACAACCTGAAAGGCAACCACATGGATATATTCTAAACCAATATATGGACATTTTGTTTCAATCCTAGATGAGTTATTTAAGTGTCATTTCTGTGGATAATATTCATTTTAAAGTCAAATTCTATGATTAGCATTACATGTTTTTTTATGGAACGATAAGATGAGGATTTTTAATTTTACTTTTCTATATGCTAAAAAAGCTAATTCTATATCATAAAAACAGGATAAATACGAAAGAACATTCTACCTCAGTCTGCTAGAGCTATTTTGGAATAAATTATTTTGGCTTCTGTATTCTGAACTTAGCTATGATCCTGACATATCAATATAAACTTACCTTTTTCAAAGCCTCTATTCCTCTAAATATGCTGATGTTGTCTGACTGGGGAATGTTACTGAGTTTTTCCAGAATCACCTTCAACAGATCTCGACACCCCTACAACATAAACTACACCACTCATTTCACTGTCATATCAACCATAACATAATGATTGTTTTTCCTGCAATTACTATGACAAGAAATACAGAAATTTTAAGATGGCTGCCTTAGAAGTCAAGATGGTCACCCATAGGAAAGTGAGTTCCAGGACTGAAAATCAGCTGATCTACTGAAAACATATAAAAATCTAAAATGGACATATCTGTGGTTTACTTATCATGCCTAAAAACCTTATCTGGTACTACTGGTCTTGTCACTACTCTCTAGCATCGTTGTAATTTCAAGTTAAATGTATGATTTTTTTGCTATCCTGATGACCCAATTTTTACTCTGCTTATACCTTCAACCACCAAAGCGATTTCAAATTAAAACCTTTCAAGTGTGTTGAATGTCATTTCAAAAACTACATTTAATGGTCCCTTTTCCATATAGCTTTGAAATCTTGTTCAATTCTCGTTTTTAAAGAGATTTTAGGATATCTGCATTTTTAACCATTAAAGGCATATTTGAATTCAATGTGTAATTAACTATCAAAAATGCTTTGATTTGCACAGTTATTTATCTTGATTCAAATTCTGAACATTTTCAAGTTTTCTGAGAAAGGATGGATGAAATCTCGACACCCCTACAACTAATCTGTTGTAGGATTACAACAAATAGCTTGTCATAATCAAGCTGAAAATAATACAATGTTGAAAAACTTTAAAAAGTTCATTTATTCAATCACAATCAACATGTCAATAGGTTCATATAATTGCATTGAAATCATGTTTTAAGTTGATCCCAATTGAATTACTTGTTAGATCAAGAAATTAAGTGACTCTGGCAATGCATTTCCATGTATTCTAGCCCTACCAACACCTGCGATGCCATCTATTTTTTCATTTATATAGAAAAGGGTCAATTGACAAGGATAAGTAGATGATCAAGCAGTAAATAAAATAATTACCTGAAGATTTTTTGAGACAACTCCTGATTACATAATAATTATCATATTTTCTCAAAAAGAATAATCATGATTAAGAAGAGTGAATTCTCCCAATTGATGAACAGGCAGAACCATTGGTCCAAAATTATTTCCTAAATTGTACATTCTTAAAACCATCAAATTCCCTCATTTATGGGGAATCAGTCCAACACACAAAATCATACCAGATATGTCATTTTTAAAAATAAGCAAAATCTCATTTGCTTTATACAAATTTAAAAATAGTATATTTGTTACATTTTCCAAATTATTCTAATTAAAATATACTACATTTTCCCCATCTTTTCAAAACTGATTCAACAAAACCAAAAGAGATCTTCACGGCTTATGAAAGTATGCAGTCGAAATTAGAAAATGAATCATGACTTCTTGGAAAAAATATTAATTCTCAATTAAAGTGTACATGTTCGTGGACTGTTATCAAAAGTGAACAACTAAAACAATAGGTTAATCAAACAATATTGAACTTCCCTATATAGATTATTTAGTCATGAAGTTTCGATTGACATAAATCATCAATTAGCGGGTGTTTCCCAAACATCTTTAATTAGAACAAATTTTCATATAAATATGGCTTGTGATCTCTTGTTATATATCAATTATTGGAGTAATCCTCACCGAGCAAAACAGCTAGGAAAACTTACTGGAAACATTAATTGCGACAAAACATTAAAACAAAATGGATATCAAATTCATACTTGGTAAGAATATTCATGATTAAAGAAAAACGTAACTTTCATCAAATATTTCAAGAAAACTTTTTTCAAATTATTTATCACATTTTTTTCGAATTATTTTCAATATTTATTTCTTTAATTTCATTTCATAATAATATAGTTGATTGTTTTAAGTTTTAGTGTTTTTCTGTTTGAATAAGGAGGAAAGATAAACATGACAATGGCACTTAAAACATCAATGTTACATTTGAAGTATATGTTAAAATGCATTTTAATGTCATTTTAGGATAATAAAGGTTTTATAGCCTGATTAAACATTAATAGAAAAATAAAATCAAAGGCCGATCTTCTGTATAAGTAGTTTTAAAAAAAAGTGAGAAAAAAGTATTTTTTTGAAAAAATTGATTTTATGATTCATAGCGCTTCACTAGATATAAAAATACAAAGGGAATTATTACAAATAAATGTACTAAACATACAATATAATACGTAGATGTAGAATACAATACAAAACAAAAAATTGCATTGATGAATTTTCAGGATGCATCTTCATGATGGTGTGCGCCATAAGATCCGCTCCAGTGACATCAGAGTCTGCAGTACACCCATGGCAGAAGCAAGAGGCATGCACACTGTGTCAAGGAGGGTCAGGAGGGCCAATGTCTCAGTCCGAACATGCCAATGAATATTATGTTATATCAGTCAAAGCAAAAGCAATAAAAGCAAACATAACAGATATCATAAATTCAAAATATGTAAGTAGTAAAATCTCAAAAACACAATATGCCCAGATGGTAACATTATTAGAAGATGCTTGATAAATCAAATCTACCAAAATATACAAAAAAAGTAATATATTTGGGATATTTTTTAACTTAACGTGAAATTACTTCTCAATACTAGTAGAGATATATGAGAGACAAGTTTCAAAGATAATTGTCAAAATTTTACTATATTTGTAAGAATAATCCTACAATTTCAAGGTTTTTATTGGGAAAATTAGTTAAAGAAAACACAGAATGAAATCCTGTGCTAAGGGATGATGTGAAAAAGTCAGTCCACCCCATTTCTGCATCTTAAACTTTCTACATTTAATCAGACTTCACAATTCTTTTTTTCAAAACATTAAAAGCAAGAACTTTAAGAAATACATTGGTATGATTTTTGAAAAGACTACTTCCACCACTACAATCTCTACCCATTCTAATTCCTTTAAAATGTAAACAAACCTATTTGACATACATGTATACTCATTTTGTTTCAGCTTGGAAATGGCCTGATCTCTACCTCTATTAAGAGCGACCTTGACCAATACCCTTACCCTGTTTTTGGAGAATTTCCCACTCTGCCATCCCTCCCAATTAACAATGTAAGTATGTACAGGCAGGTTGTAGCATATTTTCAATTATGAAATCAGTAACTGTTCAATATACCTAATATAAAAGGCAAGAGATACACATCCTACTGACTAGAAAATCTTCAAAATCTTACCAAGAAGTTTAACCATTTCCTAATGTCAGCATAAAATGGCATGAGAATAAAATTTAAATCAAGGCACATGTAGTTCTAAAATGCCTTTACTTTAACTTGAACATAACATAAGTTAACTAAACATAATAGGATTCAACCAAATCTCCTAATGTCACAAGAGTAATTCATATCCAACTCTTTCTTACATCCCCTCTGCTCTTTTATATAGGTTGGTGAATCTCTACAGCGGGCCTACACGGCTATACAACGTGTGGCATCATTCATAGAGCTAGTCCAGTTAGAGCATGAACTACAGAGTGGGCTGGACACACTGAGTGCTGACATGGCAGGTTACATGGAAAACTCCCTTCAGAAAACAGGCATTAACAAGCTTTCCATGGAAATGTGCTGCACATTGACATCACATGATGTGGCACATCCAGATGACATCACAATGGATGATACTAACAAATATGCCTACCCAAAGCCCCCTCAGACACACAGCTATGCAGAGAGGTACATGCGGGACTATCTCATCCTAAGGGATGCATCAACTGTGATGGAGCACATCCACACAGAGTTTAAGAGGCACCATAATGCTTTGATCTAAGCCTCTCAAAAAGCTATAAGCCTTCAAAAGGTTTATTTCATATAATTATCAATATACAGTTAGTATATATGGTCAAAGCAAAGTTCACAGGACTTATATATTCATAGGAGGATTTCAATTGACTTGATGGACTATCTAGCCTCTTCACAGTAAGTGGAGTATATGTATAATATATAATTGTATGTGTGTAGCACACACCTTCCATTCACAGTAAGTGGAGGATATGTATAATATGTAATTGTATGTGTGTAGCACACACTTTACATTAGTTTATTAGGATTTCCGTAAAATGCATCATATCATTGCTTTGATTGTTCAATTAATTTCTTTCATTAGGCATCATCTTTTTCAGTTCATGTATTAATATAATGAAAACCAGGAAATTATTATAGGTATACCAATATTTCTACATTAAGGATAAGACAAAAAGTTTCACATAATTTTCAAATCTTCTTAGACAGAATTTATATTCAAAATCAATGGTTTTGTTTAATATTAATCATATTAATACATTTTTAAGGGAAACAAGAGAATGGGTACTAATAATTGTTTGAAAACAAAAAAAGCTTTATTTCATGATATACAAAATATGTAGTATTAATAAATAATATATACAAATGTACTTAGTATACAATATCTGCAAAATATGCACTTGAACAATATATAATATATACAAACATAATATGTTATAAGTATACAAAGCCATGTACTTAATATACAATATATACAGTTAGTATATATTCAGTACTTTGTTCCTAAGGAATAGTTTACATAATTGTAGCAGTTGTTACTGCATGATTTTAATGAATATTCTCATATATACTTGCAAAATATGACATAGTATGGTTAGTATATAAGACTTGATTCCTCAGGAATCTAACACTTATTTTAACATATACATTTGTACATTGTTTTATATAATCTTGAAATATTAGTTTTAAATATATCATTCTTAGCGAAAGAAACTATATTATCATGTTACATGTATTTGCTATTGTAAAGTACAGGCGAATCTGACATCTTCACCCCATGCAGACAAATCGCCTAGAATTACATTTGTATGATGCGAGACTCGACATTCACCAGGAAAGTAGAAACATTTTGTCACCCATGAAGCAAATTAATTTTTTACTGCGTGGTTGCCAAACATTTTGAGGAAAATATGATAGGCTAAATAAGATACCATGAATTAACTGGGCTTTTTATACATATTGGTAGATCCTGGATCCAGTCTTATAAAGTTAAACCCAAAAATTCCAATTATTGCTTACCTTGTAGTCCACACCTCCTATTATATTGTGCATTAGTGCAAACATCTGACACCATGTTTCAACATTTGCTAATGTCAACTGCTCACATGCAAGAATTATTTCACAGACCAGTCTGAAACAGAACAATCTGCTGATAACTTTGGTAATTCCATGCAATTTCAAGAGAAATGTCATGATAATTCATATCAGAAGGGGAAATATCTGGGAAAAATAGTGCCCCAATACCAATCATGGAATATAGAGAGATTTCGATTTCCAAGGTTTAAAGGTGCTTCGGTCACCTTGATATACTAATTCTAGTTTTGCAAGCTTTTATTTGCTCATGACTAAAACAATTTTTTAAGTCAACAAAAAAAAATATTTTAATGGTTAAACAATATTTTCAAACTTTGCATGGGACTTTTAACAGAGATCTGATTGGCTGAAAGTACTTAAGTTAGTCATGGTTGAATCTTCACCTTTAAACATGTCCACAATGGAATATAATTAACAATCTTACTTTGGTGACAATGTGTTATTCTCCACCATACTCTCAAGGGTGCTCAGGAGAAGCTGTGTCTGTTTACTATTCCTGATCTTATGTATGTGTCTAATGTACAGCAACATCCCTTTCTCCTGAAGGAGACAAGAATACATAAAGATACAGCTAGATATGAAGGAGAAAGCAACATTCTCCCATACTTTTACTTAATTAAAATTCAATGTCTTATTATTAGGGGTATACTGATTCAATTAAATATATAGTACTCCAACTATGGTATCCCTACTTCTGTCCATATAATGTACTCTTCAAATGGGAAGAAATTGGCGGGTATTATGAATGCTAGATCAAAAGGGAAAAGCATGAATGTGACTTCATCAGTATATAGTGGTGCTAACATTGAATATGCAACCCGAGTCATACAACAAGGTGACATAGGTAGATCAACAGATCACAAATTCCTCGGTTTTGGAACAAACAATGTAAAAGATGACTCTGCACAAACCATTATTTATGAGTTAAAAAACCTTGCAATGACAGCCAAAAACCAGCATCCAACTTCTAAAATAACCTTGTGTGGACTGCATCACCGGGGAGATCATGCCAAACCACAAGAAGTCAAACAAATGAATATCAAAATTGACCATGTCAATGGAGAGATGGAGTCTTTTGCCATGAAAAAAGGCTTCCATTTCATTAATATCAACAGAATAAATGATTCAACATCACAGAACCCCAACATGAACATACTTTTTAACGACAAACTCCACTTTAATCACACTGGAAGAACTCGGTTGGTAGATGCGATGTTGTCTATCATTAATTCAACACACAACTCCTATGCAGATGCAGCAAGAATTGGAAACCCTCACTACCCTCGAACTGGGCTCAAGTTATAAACACTGATCAGTGTGATAGTATCATAGACACAGAATGTATGAGTGACTCTTGTAATGAGATTGAATGCAATGCTATTCATTTCCATGAATCAAATCATATGATGATAAATGAAGCCTCATTATATATAGATAATGAGACTGTAAATAATTCTGATTCAAACCCTCACAATATGCAATTGAACACCAAATCAGGTCAGCAGATTTCCCATAATGTAGATAGTATTCAATCTTCTAGTCCTGTAACAACACAGTTGAATGCCAAGTCGCAGGATCTGCGCTATAGGCTCATATCAACTGAGAAAAACATAAATGCACATTTGAACCAAACAAATGATAATACAAGTGAAGGTGATGTAAACTTTGATTTAGGCCCTCACAATGTACATTTGAACACCACATCAGGTCAGGTTTCCCAAAATGTAAATAGTATTCAATTTTCTAGTTCTGTAACAACACAGTTGAATGCCAAGTCGCATGATCTGCGCTATAGGCTCAAATCAACTGACAACAACACAAAAGCACATTTAAACCAAACAAATGATAATACAAGTCAAGAAGATATAAATTTTCTATTTTGGAATATTAACAGAATTTCTGATAAATTATATGATGGATGTGATATTTATGAGCTTTTCAGTAAATATGCAGTGATCCTGTTAAGCGAGACATGGTTAGATCCATGTGACAGCTTATCATTTAATGGTTATACTGTTCATAATCTGGCAAGAAAGTCTAAAAATAGTAACTCAAATGTTTATTCTGGAGGCATTGCTGTCTTCATAAAGGATGAATTGTATAGTTCAATTGAGGTGTCAAAACAGACTCATGATTTCTTTGTATGGATAAGAGTTAAGTCTTCTTTATATAATTTAGAGAATGATATTTATATATGCTTTGTTTATATGCCACATAAAGGTTCAACTTATGAAAATTTTGACAATTTTGACATCTTGGAGAAATCGATTGCTTCTTATCAACTATCTGGTAAAACAATCATATGTGGAGATATGAACGCTCGTACTGCCCAGTTGTCAGATTTGAATATTGATGTTCATGGATCAAATGATCAGTTTACCAATTCTTATTTTTTAAATGACCACCATATAAATAATCATCATGAATTAAATGCCTCTCTTCATAATCGTGTCTCAATGGATAAAAATCTAAAGGCAATAAGCCAGACACATGGCAATGAATTCATAAGTTTATGCAAGGCATCTAATTTAAGAATAGTAAATGGGAGATTCTTTCATGATAAAAATATTGGTAACTTTACATACTATAGATATATAAATGAAAATGATTTAGATCCAAGTAAAGGGAAATCTGTATTAGACTATGTTGCAGTTCAAGCTGATATTCTCAACACAATTTCAGACTTTAAAGTACATGAACGGCATCCGGATTCTGACCACTGTCCTATACATTTTAATCTCAACCTAGGTCAGTTCAAAATTAAAGATAGAGCCAGCAAAAACATGCAGAATTTACCTTACTCTTACTTTAAATGGGATCCTACATTAAAGAAACAATTCACTGAGCTATTGGATGCTAATATTAACAATGGTTTACTTGAGAAATTTTATGTTGATGTTGGTTCAAATACCAACTCAGATTGTTTACTACAGTCTCTTAAACATGTAATATATGACACTTCTGATAAAATATTCCCACTTAAACATCTAAAGAAAAGTACTAAAAAGTTCCCAATGAACCCATGGTTTAATAGTGAATGCAAGAAATTGAAAAAGGATTTACATTCTGCCATTAAGCAGAAGCTACCAAATAACATTATTGCTGATTTACAGAGAAAGTACAATCAAACTAAACAACATGAAAAAAGAGCATATCAGTCAAATCTATTAAAATCTCTCATTTCTTTCAAATCTCAAAATCCAACAGAATTCTGGAAAATGATAAACAGTATTCCAGGAAGCAGTAATACAAATGAAATCCCTATTGAGGCATCAGAACTTTTTTGTGCATTTGAAAAGTTGGGTAAGAACCCCAAAATTGACTATTTTGATGACGTAGCATTAAAAGAGATGCAATTATTTATTGATGAATATGATACAAATGGTGTTTGCACAGGGGAAATAAGAATAAGTCATGAAGTCCTTAATGGCAGTATAAAAGAATTTGAAGTATATGCTGCTCTTAATAAAGTTAAAGCTAACAAAGCTCCTGGAATTGATGGGTTACCTTCTAATATCATTAAAAATTGCAGTATATTAGTTCCTGAATTTACATCCCTTTTTAATCACATCTTTTTTCATGGTGATTACCCTAATGAATGGAGTATAGGTATGTTAACAACTCTCTTTAAACAAGGTTGTAGATTTAATCCTGATAACTATAGGGGAATAAATGTCTTAGCATGTATAGGAAATATCTTTGATAGAGTAATACAAAACAGACTTGTTTTTAATGCCGAAATGTTAGATATTCAGGATCCACTTCAAGGTGCTTATAAATCTGGACATCAAACAACAGATAATTTATATATTTTAAACACAATCATAACCCGTTATAAGCTTATGAAAAAGCCATTATTCTGTATTATGATAGATTTTCGAAAAGCATTTGACTATGTAAATAGAGTGGCACTTATGTATAAACTATGTAAATCGGGAATATCACCTGATTCTAACATGTTCAAGGTTATAACAAGTATGTATGAAAAGTCAAAAGCATGCCTGAAATTAAAAGAAGGTGTCACCCCTGCTTTCGAAACAAATGTCGGAGTAATGCAGGGCTCTGTACTTAGTACTTATTTATTCAACCATTTCCTTGATGATTTAAAAGATAATCTACCAAAAGAAAATGGTATTCAATTTGATGGAAATATGTTAAACCACTTACTTTGGGCTGACGATCTTATTTTGATGTCAAATAGTAAAGATGGCGCCCAAACTTTGCTCAATTGTCTTTTTGATTTTTGTAAGAGATATCATCTTATAGTTAACACAATAAAGACAAAATCAATTGTTTTTAACTCAAAATTTGATATAGTTTTCACATTCAATGATAGTGCAATAGAAAGTGTTGAGCAATATAAATATCTAGGATGTGTATTCAGCAAAACTAAGAATTTTGACCAGCATGTATGTTATCTAAAAGAGCAGGCAAGAAAAGCTTTGTTTAAAGTTAAACAGCAATATAAAAAATTTAATGACATTCCAGTTAATCTTGCATTGCACCTTTTTGACTCTTTAGTTGAACCTATCCTAACTTATGCTTCAGAGGTGTGGATTAATGAAAAACATCTTAAGACAATAGAGACAATGCATTTATCTTTTCTTAAAAGTTTATTAGGTGTTAAAAAATCAACAGCAACACCAGCAGTCTATGGAGAATTAGGACGTTACCCATTAAAAATACGTTTTGAAATTAAGTTAATTAAATATTGGCTCCGTTTAATTCATCTATCACCTGGAAACATTCTTCATAAAACATATACGCATGACCGTGAAATGAGCCAACTGGGTTTTAAAGGCACTTGGTCAAACAAAATCACTGATATTTTGAAAAAATGTGATTTATTCTCATATTGGGAAACTCAAAAGATCGATGATGATTATATTTTTATCAAGATGATAACAAAAAAACTGTATCAGAATTATAAGTCTCAGTGGCAGAAAGATATTTTCAAATATCCTGTTTTAAGAACTTACATAACATTCAAAAATGTCTTTGAAAGAGAGGGTTATTTAGATATACAAAATAAAAATTACAGACAAGCAATAAGTAGATTTAGGCTTAGTTCACACAAATTACATATAGAAATTGGTCGTCATTTGAAGCCTAAGCCAAGACCTTTGGATGAACGTTTATGTAATATGTGTGGTATTTTAGAAGATGAACAACACTTTATCATGGTGTGTAAGAAAAATACAACAGAGAGAAAACTTTTGTTACGCAATTTAATTTTGTAGGAAGTCCTAACTTTATTTTCAAAAAGCTTTTGTCTCATAAAAATTCTTATGTAATTTTACATCTAGCAAAGTTCATTTATCATTCATTCAAAAAACTGGATTAATATTGTAACAATGATACATCACACTGATGTTTTAAATTCTGTCATGTTGTATCTGTATTTTACAATAATCTCATTTTTGTATTTTACATTTTGTGATGCTGTAATTGTATTTTACAACTTTGTATATTTCCTATGAAGTAGTTAGTTTAGTCTTAGTTTAATTTTGTATATTGTAGTTTGTAGTGACTAATATGTCATTGCAATGACATCAGAGAGTCAATAAAAGATATATATATATAGGTTGCACAATATGATGACGCTTGGATTGAGCAATTTGATATCAATTTTGAGTATTCTGTCCAAACCTTGTGAACTTAACATATTAATGAAATTTAGACAAAAATATGTAATGTAAAGGATCACCTGATTCTGCATACTCTCCAAGAAACGCTGGAAAATGTCTCTGCATGTTTTCAACCTATTCTCTTCCGTATGGTCACTGTGTTCAATATAGTTTGCAAATGCCTCTTCTAGAGACTGGACTCCCTGAAATATGATAGCAAAGGGATGGTGATGTGGTTGGTTAAAAGGGAGTCTCTTTAATTCTGACTTTTAGATCAGAATAACAGATGATAACTCTTAAATACAAAACAACAAAGATCATAGGTTTAACTGAGATAACAAATGTTTGTGGCTACCAAATAAATATATTTAGACCAATGTAGTGATTTATTTTGCATTGAATAATACAGCTTTTACTATAACACAATAATATAGGTATTATGGTTTGCAATTAATGTGTGTTAAAATAATATTTGCCATTGTGTAATATCCTAAAAAAATATCAAGAGTCAATGAATTACACATACTAATATTTCTTGTACTGCTATCCTGACTTTGTCATCTTCAATGGCAGACATTGTGATGATCTTGCTCTTGGTGGCTACAAATACAGAATATTCAAGACAGCAAATGTAGCACCACTTTTTGTCAAATTAATTCGATACTAGGATTCCAGGAGGGTTTGCTTGCGTAGGATTTAATTTAATTTTGGAGGAAATCTGAACTTGGTCAAAATGTCATCATACTGTTAAATGAATAGATACTTGCTGAGACCATCATAAAAAAGATACTTGTTAACAGTTTTTGCATTAAATTTATATATTTTTTATATTTTTCTCTTGGATAAAGCGCTATTTTTCCTGTTAATTACCATGAGACCTTAAACTCCGAATATTTGATCAACTGATTTAAATAAGGTGGAAAGAGGGTTCATGAAAAAGACTGCCGACCACCGACCAGTCAGCTGTCGGTCTTTTTTGATAAAGATGAATAGATGCAAAATTAGAAGAGGAAAATAAAACTGAACTAAGCTAGGAATCCAATCACTATAGTAACTTTACAAGGTTGTGATAAAAAGAGAAAATTCAGTGAAAAAATTCAGAACATTTTCAGAAATTTTTTTCACTGAATTTTCTCGTTTTTTATAAGCTTACATTTTGCAAAACAAATCTTCTCACAAGTCTTTTCTAAGGACATAAGTGCACTCTTTGTGCAAACCTGGAAGATGTTCCAGATGAAATTACTTCTAGCCAAGAATTGTCTAGAGACTCGAGTACAGTTGGGGACAAAAATAAATGACAGGTCGATTTTCGATCACCATTTCCTAATTATGGTGGTCTGAAAGCCCATAATTTCCAATATTGTCTAGATACATATCCCTTAAAATTTGTATATTTTACATTTTGTATAATCTCATCCACTGATTTATGGCCTCTTGTAAATTCTCTTATTTTTAACATGGGAAATCCTCACTTCAGCAAATCCACCTGTCATTTATTTATGTCCCCAACTGTACATGTAAATCATGACCATTTCATTTTTCAAAAATAAAATTCGTAAAGGCTAGAGTACCGACAATTGTCGGTACTCTAGACTCTGATGTGGTGGCACGCTAGAGGACCGACAAATAAATTGTCGGTACGGGAGATATGCTGTGTTTACACGCTAGAGGACCGACAAATAATGATTTTGGAATTTTCTAGCGCATGCGCAATATGCGGGGGGATATTTCAGATATCATACGGATATTTTGGGAACAAGTGCAAAACCCGCTAGAAAATAGCTAGAATGTTTTTTATTTGAAGCTTATGGTATGAGGTTCCATATCCATCCGCCAAAAGGTATGACCCCTATATAGTCCATTTAAAAACCTGTGGTATCGTTCTAAATAACCCATAGTTGGCTTCTAGGGTACCTAGTATGCCACTATTTGGTATCAAAATAAAGAGGAGTTCAACTTACATTTGAATTACGAAAATAGCGATGTAGGTCAAAATAGTTCCGAACGTGAGCATGTTTACCACGCGTTTGCCCGTCATATCAGAATTGAGGAAGTGGTAGCAAACGCGAGTTACAATAAACGGACGCTGATATCTCAAAAAGTAACCGGACTCCCTATAATTTGATGTAGGTCAAACGAACCCCTATATGGACAGGTGCATTTTGATATATAACACTATGGGGGGTAAGCGTTTCATAGTTGGTCACGAACGCCATATGTGCAAAGTATTGCTATGAATTTTCGAATTTGGTGTTGGATTACGGTACTCATACATTATAGCACAATTTTTGATGGAAGTTGCATTTGGCTCCCTCAGTTAATGGCCACGATTCCATCTCGCATGAGAGAGCTACCAAACGCAAAGTAAACCGTGATATATTCCAAATGAGATATTTCTTCTGTGCAATGGCGTAGTAAGGGTAGAGAGCGACGGGGGCGAAAGCTTCCCCTCCCCTAACTGTATATATCGACCCATTAGATAGAACAAGAAAAGAGCTTTAAAATGTTTTTTAATTGAAGCTTGTACGACAATTTTGATGGAAGTTGAATCATTTTTTGTCGAAATAAATTATGGCTCACTACACGTTGTACGATTCCATACTGCAAAAGAACTTAGCACTATGCCCCCCCCCTCAAAAAAAGTAGGTCCTGCCAGGATTCGAACTCGGGACTGAGTGTGTTTGAGTCGTGCTCGCTAACCACTGCGCTACCAGTGATAGGGTTAATTCTAAAAGTAAAAGTAGTGGATTTGTTTACGAAATTGTCGGCTCTCTAGCAAAAACACGTAGCAGCCACTTGCGTACCGACAATTGTCGGTTCTCTATCTGGCACTACTAGGTGACGATAGAGTGCCGACAATTGTCGGTACCCAAGCAAATAGCCATGGACAGTCTCCAGTACCGACAATTGTCGGTCCTGGAGCCACTCCGAATAAAATTATTTCTGAAGTCTATTTTTCTGTTCAAATTTATCTGAAATGGGTCCATCTTGGATACAATTTAAGACTTTAGAGTGCTATTTTAAAATAACGGGTATTTCAAACTTTATTTATGAATGAAAGGGATATATATTGTTATAAAGTACAGTTTACTTACATTTGTTTCCTCATTTCCTATTATCGCCCATGTTGTGTTGTGTAAATATGCGAACGATCAAAACATCAAATGTGTATGAAATAACGCATTTTTGATAGGAACAAAAATTCTTTATGAAAATAATAGGAATAACATGTACTGTGTGATTTCATTTATAATGGAAAAATGCACTTCAAGGTACCACAAGCATAACATTTAGACAAGCATCACACTATTTAGAAGTGAACGTTCGTATTTTGACTGTAAGCCTAATTGATTTTAAATGTGATTTTATTTTTCAACGGGAGTAAGTTAGACTATATCCTCTAGTCTGAAATTTTTTTGGAAATTTGGAATGAAAATATTCAGACTATAGCCCTTATATGTTAAAATTTGGGATTGAAAAGTATTTGTTTACATAGGAAGTGCCATTCAAAATGGCCGACTGGGTAAATTAATTTGCATATTTGTTACTTCCCCTAGCTTTATTTCCATTTGACAATATGCTGTGTTACTTTTTATAGCATTTAATTGTACCTTACTACTTAATAGGATTGTTATAATGCTTATTTTTGGGGAGTGAAGTTTCCTAAAATTGATAATTGTGTGCAGGAAATTTCCTGTTTTTTCCCACACGGGAGGGACGTAATGATCAATAGACTGAATTCTCAGCAGGAAATTCAGTCTAATGGATATAGACTCAGGCCTGTCAACTGTCCCGCAATTTGCGTATTTGTCACGCATTTGCTGAAGAATTTGAAGTCACGCCAGTTATTTTTGCGTGACAGAAAATGTCACGCAAATACGCATTTTACCTGGTAATTGTCAAGCAAAAATGTTTCTGTAGAAAAATCCCTAAAAAAGATCGTCTACACAGCAAAAATACGAACGCCGGAAAAAAATGTACGCATTTCGTTCGGACTTTTCACGCGAATTACGTATATGTCACGCATTCCGTTCGAAATTTTTCGTACCTACCTAGTTATGATTTTTTATACTTGTATTTGTCATCTTTGAAGGCTGCTGGTACTACACTATCCGGACTAGTTACCGAGACACGAACTCGTCTCGAAGTAACGATTTTACTCATTATTTCACCGCGGAGTTGTACGGCACTTCTCATGACATTTCAAGTTATGCAGACGTGTGTCAGTATCATATCATGACAAGAAAATCTACATGTTTGCGAACAACAGGAATCATCTATTCTACACTAAATGCTATTAGTCACGGGTAACTAGAGTATCCGCGTATATTGAGTATGACCGGTTCTTAGGCTACGAATATGACCTGTTTTGGAAAGTCATGAGAGGCACAGCTGCTTAAAAATGGAAAATAAAGGTTAACTTCTATATTATCCTTTTTGAAATTGTGTTTGTTGAATATAGTTTATGCTGTATTTAAAAGTAATGTAACAAAAAAATGTTAAACATGAGCTATTTTAGCAATGTAACTGTTCATAATGGAATATCAATCAGAAAGTACAGATTTCTCGCCTTAGAGCCAAATCATTAATATCACAGTAGAAAAAAACAAATCCCAAACCTTTTTATGGCTGACCTGAACAAGATCTCCAAATCTCAGTTTATATGATCCCCCGTAGAGTGAGCAAGAGAAGGATTTATCTTTTCCCAGAGGATACGCTTGTGAAATGTCATGGAAACGAGTGTAACACGACCCACTGATTGTTTCACAATCGTATTCTACAATAATGGGGCACCAGTGACATTCGTATTCTCAAAAATTCAAAGATGTATCATATTTGGACAGAGCAGGCTAAATTATTTAAAATATTCATGACTAATTCGTAGATCTAGCTATATATTATACATAAGATGTGTCATCCTCTTCGGAGTTGCGTTGTGTTACACAAAAACTGATCAAAGATGCTGGAAACTAGGATTTTACGGCTTCAATCTAATATTAATACGTTTTCTCTTGATTAAGGCCCCTTGTGATATGCCTGGCATTATAAGTATACCAAGTTTCATTCATTGACCAAGTAGGATAAAAAGAAAACGTTCGAAAGTGTTCATAAAAAGCAAGTACTCACCTCGTCTGTTTATAGGAACAGAAATACGGTCACACTCGTAAGCTTAGAACCGGTCATACTCAATATACGCGGATACTCTAGTATCCCGTGTTAGTGTAGAGTAGTGTAGTTTTGTCTTGAGTCAGCCTAGTTTGTACATAGACTAATGTGTCATGTTTTTATATCCAATAATTGTCAATAAAACTTGTATGTAACGGAACGGTTTAATTACCTGTTTTTGAAGTTCCGTTTAGCGGTAACAACAATTATTGAAACCAAATTGAAGATTCTGCCATCTTACGAACTCACGGGGGTAAAGCAGACCCGATGATGCAATGAGCTTGCTCGGCGGTATCATGACTGTGTAACGCCGGGTCTTAACTTGAATAAATGTGCTCGGCGGTTCAAACAACGCGGATCCTCAAAGCATGTGCTCATGGTATTCGTGTTTTAACACCCGTGGAACTATTTCGTGCGGAATCACTTGGATTTTCAGAAACCTGAACGTTTTTGCCGAAAAGGGATGCTTTAAAACTACGGCCTTAAAACTATTGTATCCAAAGTCAATTTGGTCCGGGACTCCTCAGGCGCAACCTCCATCAATGCCCTTAAAAACTCAAGCCACAGGCATAAGTCACTAGTCCGGCCTAATTTAGAATATACCAGTTCGGCATGGGATCCCGACAAAAAGATATTGATATATTGGAACATGTACAGAGAAGTGCAACCTGGTGACATCTACAGGCCCGTAGCCAGGGGGGTTCGGGGGGTTCGGACGAACCCCCCCCCCTGGCCAAAATTTCTTTCAAAATCATGCAGTTTTTCACCATTCTGACTATTTTTTGAGTGATTTTTGGCCAAATTTGTCAAAGTGACCCCCCCCTAGAATTTTTTGGAAAAGTGAACCCCCCCCCCCCCCTTGGAAAATTCTGGCTACGGGCCTGCATCTAAGCTAGTATTCGCGAATGCAACTAACGCCTGCTGCCGTACCGAATTAACCTATAATTTTATGCCTATTTAATTACAGGTAACTATGCCTATAGTAACCTAGCTGTAACTAAATAGGTGTGTGTATTAATCACGCCCGGTGTTCGTACAAAAATTATGGAGGGGGATTAGGCGATTTCTGCAAGAAAACTCAACAAATTTGGAAGATTTATTTTTTCAAGAGAAAATTTACAACTGAATTGCCAAATGAATAGGCGCAGTGTATGGCAAAATATGTTAGGTCATCTAGTATTTTTTTGAACTGATACCCGTCTAAGATATGAGATCTATTAAAAAAGGCGCATCATCACCAACGTGGAAAAGTCAATGTTTTTGCTATAAATCGGGCAACAATGGTCTACACGACCTGTAATAAATAGGTATAAGGGACGTTATTATCACAATACTTATGACATTGCTCACTTTTTAAAGGCAGAATCAGATCTATAGGGGGTGACAAAATTACAAGCAACTTGTATAATTGACCTACCAATCTATTCTTTACAATATCAAATACAATATCTCCCAAAAGATTCACAATATGTTATAAATTGGTGAAGTTATTAATGATTCAAAGTGCAAAAATGGGTGAAAAATGTTTAAATTTTCCCAAATAATAAGAATGGTAACCATTCTTATAGAAAAATAATACATTATTGTAATTTTTTTAGTTTTTCTTGAATAAAGTATGCACTTGTGATTTTTAGAAAATAGACATGACAAGGAGTGACACGAGCCAAAAAATTCTAAAATTGAAACAATTTGTTGTTGAGCCTGCTTGCTTTATAATCTGATTCTCTCTTTAAAGTTAGTTTCCATGCGTTATACAAAAAATTATCGAAATAAATTAATTTGGGATGGAGGGGGATCGGATGGAGGGGGGGGATTTATTTTTCAACTCGGTAGCCTAAAACATGCTGGCAGTCGCCACCAGTGTATTTTATCCGTTCAATTTTTTAATGAGTTGAAACCAAACCATGGATCTATTTTTAAATGTTAAGGTTTTAAATAATATATCTATTCAAATTCTATCACTGTTAAATTAGATATCTGCTTTAAATGGGCTTATAAGTCTTTTGAAGATTATTGACAAGTATATAGACAGTGCTATTTCTCGAGAAATCAGGAAAAACAAAACATCTTACTGAACTTTCCAACCGGAGCCGCAGCCATCTTGTTACGGAAACGGTAATGACGTACTTAAGTGCAGTACCAGAAAAAGAGCCTTCTTAACTCGATCAGATAAATATGGCGGCGGTGAAAGTCGAAATTGTTTACTGGTAAGATTATAAAATGTTTATATATTATATCTAATTATAAGTTTTATTGACACATAGTATGATCATAAACATGATTAAATCAGCCACAACTAAGGTGAACTGTATTATACAGTCTGTATATCTAACTACAAACACTAACTTAAAAAACTAAAATATTACATGACATTTATATATATAGACATACTTATCATAGCATGATTACATTAGTCAGAACAATAAACTACAAAACACTGAAATATTATGTATATATTTTCAATATTATCATTTATTTATTTAGATACCATCTCCCTTCTATTTGGGATTTGGTATTAGGATGGCATTCTGTGACCTTCGAAAAATAAAAAAGTCAGGTCAGGTCAGCTTAAAATCAGAAAGACCTGAGGTCTGAAAATGTAAAGTTTTCAAGAGGTATTCAACCATTAAGATTTAAAAATATATGTTGCTTTGTTCCATCCAAAATCATGGGCAAAGACGATACCATTAATCAAAATGAAACAACGGGTTAGATAATAAACCGAGTCGAGCATTGATGGTTTGATTTTTGTGGAAATTTGTATGAGACGCATGCATTTTGCACTTAATTACTGACCAGTATATCTATGAAAAATTAGTTGCAAGTGATGGTGGTTGGAAATGATGAAAACCCCGATGTAGTACCATCATAATATCCGTGAACTACTTAGTATTAAGAATACACTTTTCGTATATGATATCTCGAACAAGGCACTCATACAGCTAGAGCGTATTTCATA